TGAAGCCTCAATAGGATGATTGAAGATGATCCGGTCCTTGACAAAGTTCAGCACCGGCCCATAGGCATGACGGCTACACTTGCAAGATTCGAGGTGTGTTGGTAGACCATTTTTCCAGTCTGTTGGAAAGGAGCATTTGTCACCACAGCCAACGCTGGCACGATACTGTGGCAATGAGCAACTGCTGGCCACGAAAACCATGCCACAAATGGTTGATTTTGGGAACATGCTGCAATCCATTCCAGGGATCAGCTCCTGAATGGCTTTCTTCACGTGGGGGAATGCATCAGATTTGGCCACGTGAATGCAAACCCAGCCACCTTGCATGCTGAAAGGGCGGTTTTCTATGTCCTTAGCACCCTGCAAAAGGGCCCTGCAACATCTGCACCCCTGATTGCGATTGCAGTGTTCACAGTGAACATGCTGTCCACAGTGCTCACATCTGCAGGGCAGTCATCAGCGCAACTGCTGCAAAGAAGGTCAAAGTGTCCCTGAGACACACCCTCCCCGTCCAATCTCTGGGAGAAACGCATGTGAACAGATCTGGTGGGGTTTGGCTGCTCGTTGATGATCTCTGTGACCCCACTTGGGCAGTGGTGGATCACAATTGAAATATTCAGCAATTTTGCTAGAAATTCATGGTCCTTGTCCTGTGTCTGGGCACCTTTGCTCAAACGGTCACTCAGCGCCTTCTTGCTGTCCTCATCTATGAAGTCTCTGTTGCACGCTTTCAGGCAGTGGATCAAGCTCTTTGCCATACCACTTGCACCTGCATCACACACTTTGGAAAGAGAGAGGGAGAGAGAGAGAGAGAGAAAGAAAAAGTCACTTGCGTGCCATCTATGGGGGCTGCGTCAATATTTTTTACATAACCCAGCTTTGGAAAAGATCCATACGCAATGTATTGTGAACAAAAAATATTCTTGAATTGAAAAACCCAGCCACTCTTCTCTTCCTGCTGCAGCCTCTTGTTGCAGACACGCCCAGTGGCCAAATCAAGAGGCATGCCAGTGCGGGATCTGAGAAAGGAACTCCAAATTGGTTGTTCTTTGGCTCCCGCTGCAGTAGTGGAGAGAAACAAGCAACTGACAAAGCACTGTCCATTCTGCGGTACCTGGATCAAAGAAAATTCTGATGAAACAGGTGCTCTGGGCACCGTGCCAATGTCCTCCTCAAAGACAGCAGTGCCCAACAAGCACATCAACGCTGCTGTGGAACAGGCAACCATGAACCCGCTGCCAACCAGTTCATGAGGCTTTTGCAATTGGTGAGAATCCAGCTCTGGACATTGCATGGCGTCCGCAAGGCATTTGTGAACTGGCCAAAGGTGCCAAGACAGCCTGCACACACCCAAACCCGACAAACCCTAAGTTGGCATCCACACATCACTAGTCACATGACTTTATAGTCATGTACATATATACATACATTTAGTCTTTATATGGATGTTGAATCAAGAAACACTGGCCCAGTAAGATGGCACACGCCAGTGCTTGTGATTTCATTGCTGCCTAGAAGCTTCTCCCTTGCCGTCGCCCAACGGTTCCTTTGCGCATACCATAGGCGGGTGATGCCGCTGCCTTTCAACCTTGCACTTTCGTTCTTTGGGAAAACATTGGCACATATGTATATACCTGCTCTCACTGGTGTCACATCTATATATATATATATGATCTATTCAGATTTTGCTTTAAAAACTATTCCCAAAGTTGGCAAATGACATACAAAAAAAATATATATATATATATATACATAAGTCCAGGCACAGTGTAGGCAAGGAAGGAAAGCCCTGCTTCGTGGCGCAAGTCCAGGATTTGTGCTGGGAGGCGCTTTGGCTCAGATTGAAAACAGCATCTTGCATACTGCTACCATGCTTTTCAACCCACTGCTTCTCATAGGAATCTAGCTGCGCCCTCTCCCAATTGGTCAACATTGATCTGAAATCCAGTTCATGTCCATTGTCACTTTGCTGAAGTCTTTTTGCTGAAAGGCTTGACAAGAGCTCCTTCTTCAATTCATCTGGGTCAGATTCCCAGAACAGAGAATCAAGAGTCAAGTCTGTGTACACCTCGAGCTTCTCTGACATTCTGGCATAAAGAGCACTGGGGTCGCCCACAAACTTCCCAAATTTCTTGTGCACAAGAAGATGATAGTTCCTTTCCCGGCTCACTGCGTGAAAGCCAAGGTCCTGCGGTTTGGTGCACAGCGTGTGGATGTAGTAGTCTTTGCCCAGGTTCTCGTGCCTCAGGCAGCTGTGGCTGTGGGGTGCCATCTTAGTGTGCCTCGTAGGGGTGGTACCTGCTATATATATATATATATATTTAAAACTTATTTATGTATTTTTGCTCGGTCCTTCTCTCTCTCTCTCACAGTCAGTCTCTCTCTCTTCTCCCTCTCTCAGTCTCTCTCTCTCTCTCTCTCTGTCTCTCTTTCTTTAACTAGGCATCCCACACGATTTCCGTGAACTTCCCCGTGGTGACATTCTCCAGCACACAGGATTTGATTTGCTTGTTCTTCAAGTACTTGGCCAAAGCTACAAAGTACTGTGTGGTTGTGCCTTCCTTGGTCAGCATCTTTCCTTGCTGAGAATGGTCGGAGCAGTGGGCTCCAGAGATGTCGCAATCCGCTATTGGTACAGCACACTTGCCAGAATGCTTCTGACAATCATCTCGATGTATCTTCACCATGTCCCTGTCAAAAATGACTCGGAGGTCATTGTAGCACGTTGCCTCTCGAACTAGTGCCCTGGAAGTTTTGGCGCTGAACATGCCCAAAACGTCCTTGAAACGACATGAATCTTCACGCTCTAATGGGCTCAATGCCAGCGCCTTAGAAGGCACTCACACTTTATTTCATCACCCTATGTGAATATACCATATGTATATGGTGTGTGATGGTGTGGGTTCACAAACAAAACACCCACTAGGCTACTGGTGGTGTGCCATCTATGTGTGTGTGATGGTGTGGGTTCACAAACAAGTCACCCACTCCTGTAGCCTGGTGGTGTGCCATCTATGTGTGTGTGCGCACGGGTCACCGACAACGAAACAAAAACTTTACAAAAGAAAACCCAGTGGCCGCCATGGATTCTGGAGTGATGTCACATTGCGATACCAGCCTAACTGGCAACCCAACAGCTTTCGCAACCAGAAATGCTGAAAGCTCCCCACCTCCCATCCCACTGAAGTGAGTGCTTACCCGAAGATGATCTCTGTGAAGCAAAGCGATCGGCTCACCAAGCTGTGTAGCATATTCCACGGCTTCTTGCCGTGCAACATGCAGGAACCGCCAGGCTGCTTGTACCAATGGATGCTCTGAGTTCATGGCGGATGCTCTGTGCTGAATTCTCTGCAATTTGTTTGTCTACATAGACAATTCAAAGAGAAGTTCATTCAATTATTTATATATATACATAGTGGTTTCTCAATTTGTCATCTGAAGAACATGAACAGTAAAGATAAGAACCTCTGTAAGACACTAAGATGGCACACAGGCCAACAAAGCTGGTTTTCTTCCTCAGTGTCATGCAGCTGCGTATATGGAAACAAATAGGACCAAAAAGCATCAAAGAAACATAGACAACAGGCTTGAAACCCATCCACAAATCAACCAAACAGATGGAAAGCACATCAAAATCAGCAGCGCAAAGCCCTGTTCAACCCCTGTGCGGAGTAAGTATAGATGACATCACGAAAATCGCATAGACTGTGCTGAGAAGCCTTATCGCATCCTTTCCTGTCTGAATAGTGTCTTTCCTCTGCTCCTTCTCTGGTTGTCCCTTTCTTTGTTCCAATCTTCTATTTACCCTTTCTGTTTATGGTGGCTGCTGTATGCCTTCTTAGAAGGCGCGTCTTATCATATCTTACCTAGGCCCTACATCTCTCTCTTTCTCTCCCACCCTGGCCCTCCCTGAACAAAGACATATATATGTATATCATATCCCTTCCCCTCTTCTGCTCCTCTCTTCCTCTTTCCTTTGTCTCTTATTCTCTACCACCCCTTTCTTCTTTTCCTTGCCTTGCTTTTTCCTCTACTCTGATTTCTCTGTCCTTTAAGCCTGCTACAGTATCATCTGTTTTTTGCTTCTTTTCCTTTCCCCAGTCTCCCCTCTCATCACCTGGCATGTGCCATCTTTGTGGTCCACTGCTCCCCCTTTATATTATACTGTTCATTCAAAGTGGCCGGTGTTCAATGCTTTGGGATTTTGTTCTTCCTTGGCTATCATTCCTGCTTTGCTTCCTGCCTTGGTCTTCTTATATACATAGTTTGTATGAATACATAGCTTCTTTCCTCTGCTCCTTCTATTTGTTCTTCTTTTTTTCTTGCAATCTCCTGTTTCCCCTTTCTGTTTATGCGCCATCCCATGTCACCTGATTGCCTGTGTCTTTTTATTGATGTTATGTATGGATGCCATCTTTGGGAGCGGCCAAATCTACTAATTTTATCCCACCTGTTCATTTGGCTTAGATGGATTTTTCAGGGCTTTTTCGTGATGCCATCTATACGGGGATTCCTATATGTTTATACACACATCTTGTGAATATCCCATTACCAGAGCCTCAGTGGATGATGATAACTCAGTTGCAGGCCTTGTTCCACATTTTAAATAGTGATTTGCTTGTTTACTGACTGTTACGGGTAATAGGACAGACCCAAGCTCTATGAACGTCGATGGCAAGGGACCAAGACAAAGGTGAAACAAGCAAAGTAAAGTGCGGTCAATTACACCGAGCCGAGAAGACATGGTGCCACAAGGGGCTTCACTTCGAAGGCTGGTGAATTGGCAAAGGCTTGAAAGCAGCCTCACACCCACTGTGTCAGCGGGGTGTTTCAACCCTCAGTGCAGATCGTTTCACTCGACTTGAGTTAGCAACAGTGAACAGGTGCAGCAGGTCACCGTCTGCCCACAAACAAACAACATAGCAAGAGAACTATCCAAACAGACCAAAAGCGTGTCGGTTGACATGCTCTTGGGAGTGGAATCCACTGGGCCCACCGGCAGAGTCGGCGATAGACCTGGCGTGTCTTCTTCCACGAGACCGGACCGGATCCCGACGGACCGGACCTGGGGTCCTTCGGACCGGGATTCATGAAGCGAATCGACTGGAGAAATACTGCGAAATACTGAGTGGCAGACGGCTTCATGGTAATGACTGAGTGGATCTTGAACCCAATATCAAAACCCCCAATGACTGAGTCGGCCAAGGTGTGAAATCGACCTCATTCGACCTCCAGACCTCGGGGGGTGCAACATCACTTGATTTTCTACAACACCAAGCCGACGTTTCAGGCCGACGTGGAGATTCACACCGAAAGGCCTCGTCATTGGTTTACAGCTTTGAACACTTTGAATCATGTTAACAAATGATGTAGACAGGCAGACAGGCAGGAACTCTGAGACCCGTCCAATCCTTGATCTACAGAGCTTCGGCCAATACGTATGATTGAACCTATGTCGTATCAAGTTCTTAGGCTGGTGCTTGCGCGTTGCTTACGCAACCTCAGTTTTAGCTTACGCGAGGCCTTGGACAACAAAAGTCTTACGCAAAGCTTACGCCATGACACAATTATGATTCCGAAAGGTTCCCCCAGGATTTGCTTACGCAGCAATACATTGTGCTCTTCATGTTCTTGTAAAGAGCAGTACTGACACAAACCTTACGCAACAAGTGTGTTCAACATCGAGCTTACGCAACCTTTCGCAACACAATGTTTTCCTATATGTGTTCCTTATGTCACAGATTGATATGACATATATGACATTAATGGAATGTCAAGGGAGGTTTTGGCTATTGCTCAAAAACATGTCCCGCGGCACCCGCGCGGACGAACCGGGCAGCCGGTTCGCCAACCCGAGTTCACGGGCGTTCGCCGGGCGAACGTCGCCGGCCTTCGTCCTTGCTGTCGGCTTCGCCTTTGCTGGCCCTTGCAAGAGCTTGCAAGCCGAACCAGGCAAGGGGCAAACAGGGGAAGACCGTGCAGAACCTGGGCCGCAGCCGCCGTGGGCGAACGAACGGGGATGCCGTGCGAACGAACGAGTTGCGCGTCTGCGGGTGCACAGGAAAATAAGAAGAGTGAGGGACCTGGACGTACCTCTCGTTGAATCCTGGATCCATAATATTGAACGACGGCACCTCATCATGGCACATCATGGCACCTCACCCATATATCGTGAAGTAGGATTGCCGCTCCGCCATACTCAACAAAGCTTCTTAGTTCCTGGTTGCAGTTGTTGAGTTGTGAGTCAATCTCCCATGACCCCAAGGGCCCCAATGGAATCGAGAATTCATCAGCCAAAGATCTATAGTTTTTTGCACCCCTATTGACTGAGCAAAAGATACCCAAAAGCCTCTACCAGCAGCTTCGTGAACCTCCCCCTATATCCACGGATGTTCCCTCCTGGGCCAAGTCACGTGCCGACAAAACTCCAAAGGAATCCATGCCAGTACCTGGAAGGCGCGGCGTTCGAATCCTCCGCAAGAATCCACCCAAAACCGCCGTGATATAAAGAATGAACCTGGGCTGTGCAGGGTCCGCAGCTTGCAGTTGGTGGAAAGTGGTATTCCAAACATCTCGAAATGGCTTGAATATGGTTTGAATCTTGTTAATATGATCGTTCATGAAGGTAGCTTAACCCATTGCTGCTATTAAGAGAAGCATGAGTCACCCAACCACTGTTTCACTTGAACTAGGAGCCACATGGTTGCTATCTGGCCGGGATCAGCCACATACGCCTCCCACAGGTCTAGCAGTGGAAGTAGCCACCAACTTCCAAGCCTATTCAACCAAAGCATCCATGAAAAACACAAAGAACACCGGCAGTTCAAAATGAGAGAGAGAGAGAGAGACAGCATCCCACACAAACCACCAAAGGACAACCGCGTTGCCGATTACACGGGGTTTCTTGCTCTCGCTGCCCCAATCGAACGAGACGCTTTGCTTTGCCAAGGATCCTCGGATGCCGCGTATGCTTCCGGAAGAAGCGACGCTGCGAGGTGGTGTCGTAGGGCATCACAAAGGTTTGTTGCACCCACGACCTTTGGAAGAACAAACACCGAGCCAAATCCACAGATGTCGAGAGCGAGCCTTGAGCCGAATCGAATCCTTTGCCCTCGATATCATCAATATATCTCAAAATATATCATAATATATCTCACGATTGTCTGGAGTCTATCATACCTGGAGTCTATCTGCTCCCACTGCTGCACCTGTATGAACCTGTTTAGAAACGGCTGCCGGACCTACGTACATACTCATCCTGCAAACTGTTCTGTGGCAACAAGATGCAACAAGCCTCATGGTGACACTTAAGCGCATTTACATGTGTTTCAACAGACTGGGAATACAATAAACTACCACAAAAGGGAGCGGCCTGCACAAAGCACTGTGCAAAAACCTCGAAATGAATGTACAGTCGACGCCAGTGGCCCTCTCTGACTAAGTTGCCGACGCCAAATAGAACTCGAAGAAGTCTGGCCGGTCAAATCAGCACACATACTCTGACTGCAGAGTATAACATGAAGAAAGCAAAAATATGATGCATCCTGGCTGCATAATATCAATATATATATATATATATGTATGCATATCATTCATCCAGAGTTCCGGATTCCGACCAAGCCCTCATCGGGCTGGCCCTCATGGGCCGGCCCGCAAGGGGACGTCGACCTTCGCGGCCCCCGACCTCTGGGAGGCGCCTCGGCGTTGCGGACTCGCGTCCAAGCCTTGGCAACCCGGAGCAGGAAACACGGACGGTTGGATCCCCAAAAGCCATAGGGATCCACCGATCCATTGCACCGACCCGGTTCGGAAACGAACCCTCCAAGGCATTCCGCTACATCAAGTTGTGTGTTCCACACAGCACCCCTCGATATCGACAGGAAGGTATGTGGATCCATAAAGGCTGAGTACGTCACCAAATGATGGTGAATGTCCCGCAACTGCCGAGCGTTTGGCGAACGCGAGCCTTTTCGGGGTGCCCGGTATTACCGGGATTTAGGAGTTGGCGGGGTGTGGGTGTTGGCGGGTATTTCCACAAAGTCAGGCTCGAAAAGCAACCCAAGAAAAGCAAGCATGACACCAACTGGACCAAGCAGGCCATCGACATCACCGTCGCATCGTGTCTTAAACATATTAAAAAATCGTGCCTGTTCAAGGGCTGGAGCGTGATGTTTTGTGGTTGAAACGGCCTGTTGTTCTTGTGACGTGTCCGGAACAGCCTTGTGATCGTCATGGCTGGAATGGCAGGTAGCGTTCATACGAAAAGGCACAGGATGGTTGTTCGCATTGGACAACATCCTATGCCTGGAACCCATTTAAGACCTCTGCTTAACCCATGTTTTGCGTGTCTCAAACAGAATCAGGTGAATGAGGAAGAACCAGGTTTGGGATGGTTTGGGGCCAAGGACCTGACCCTTTGCCCCAGGGTGACCGCTGTCTTGTCCGACCCAAGTCACGACTCGAAGTGGCTCTGAGTGGAGAAGCACAGCCCCTTCCGGTACCTGAACGGTACCAAAGGCGAAAGGACAGAAGGTACGTGATTACGAGCCACCCCCCAAAAAAAAACTACAAATCCTCTGGTCCATGACGCTTCGCCAGGCTTGACCTAACATCCTAACAGCCAACTCCTGCAAGTAGAATTGGCCCGCCTGACATTTGTCTCGACATTCTTCCCTGTCACTGCCATTCTTCCTCACTGACTGCTCCGCTCCCAAACTCCCCCGTTCCGCCACCGCCGGAGAAAGCTCCCGCCCGTTCCACCTGGACGAGACTGCCGCGCGCCACCGGCAAGACTTCCACCTCGTGCCGCTCGCTGCTGCGCTGCAATTGCACCTGCGACGGACGACGCCAGGCACCCGACCCGCGATGGACGGAGGGCGCTCCACCGGAGCGAACAGCTTCGCGTGGCGCAAAAGCTGGCGTTTGGTGTACGGAGAAGCTGTCGAACCAAAGGTTAGACACCGAGCTGGCTGATGTAACCAATTTTCTCCGACAACGATTGTACAACAGTAACCTGCCTTCATCTGCCTTCTATGGCAATAGGATGCAATAGGTCTGGGTGGTTGTCTGCCAACCCATTCTTTCTGTCCTTTCATGTGGATCACATCCCTTCCCGCCAGCTGAGTGCCTGTGTAGAACCCGGGTCTTCTAGGTAAAGGACGGCCACCGAACCTCAATCACAACGGAAGTCGTTCCAACATAGGTCTACTCTCCCCCAGCGTTAGAAAAGTGCACACGAAGAAGACTAGATTCCAATGATTGTTTATGAGAACTACATAAGAACTACCAAAGACTGAAAATATGTTAAATTAATACAGTCTTATTGATCATGATATATTATGTGTATATAGTATATATTATATAGTAAGTTTAATATAATATATATAATATTATATAAGTATGCTCTACAACTCAGCAACCAAAGACACTACAAGTTCAAGTTGCACATGGTGGAGCTTGTGCATCATAGCTTCTTGGAGAAGACATGTTTTTTAAGGAGGTCGAGTGTCGAAAAAGAAGCAGCTTTAAGCTTTGGGCGACCACATGGATTCCCATCACTCTGGGGCACCGACTCCAGTGGCTATGCTCATCTCGGATTCCCCGCACCTCAGGATGACTCCTGAACGACCCGAAAAGGAAAAAACAAACATCGCAGCGGCATCTGGGTGGGAGATCAGGGCATCTGAAAATACGATGGGACGTGATGATGCGATGTGTCTATACCTTTTGGAGTTGATTTCCCGTTGATCCTCTTATTCATCATTATTCATCTATATATATATATATATCCGCCGACCCCAGCTGATGGGGGAGCGCGCCAGAGAATCACCGTGTATTTTGGGTGTGGATCCTAGACTCCTCTAGACGTCTTAGACGTCTAGACGCCTGCATTCTCTTGGGGCCCGGAACAGCGGTGATGTTGTCCAGATGCACATCCCCCAGGTGCCTGACGACAACTCGCCGCGGCCACGGTGGCCACGATTACGCACTTGGAGGGCCTACGTGGGTGGCGTCCCAAAGCCGAGAACACTTGAAACATCTTGAAAAAATGCTTCCATGGCCGCCATTCTACAGCACCAAGCTACGGCAAAATGGTCAGAAAGCTTATGAGATTGCATATAGTAGATCATAGTAGGCAACAGTTACATTTGATCATCAACTGCCAAACTGACTCTCCTGAAATGCCAATCCCACCTAATGCAAGTTGCCAGTTAAGCTTTAGAAAAAGATCATTATCCCAGCTTCAAACCTCCTAGGAAGAACCAAAACCTCCTACAAGTAGGAGGAGAGACCCCAGTGCTACACTCCGCTCTTCAGTGCTACACTCCATCGACGGCTCCTTTCCCAAGCGCGCGCCCACGTTTGGGCTGCGGCTGTTGCCCGACCCCCCCCCCGCCAACCTCCGGTCCGTGTGCAGCTGCTGCACCACGAATTTCTGTAGGTTTGCTGCCGCTCTTTGGGCCCAATAGCCACAGCCTGAGCATGATGCGAGCACGACGCGGCGAGCAAGTTCCAGCGTGTCCCTGAAGCATCTGTTCGACCCCAATGTTCCAGGAATGATACGAATCAGATAGCCCAATTAATAGCCCAGGATAGCTCCATGGATGGTTTACCATGCTTTATCTATCTGAATCTATCTATACATTGGCCCTTGAAACCACCCTCATTGTAGGTCAATATGCCCTAAATGTGCTGGTGACTTTTTCGGTCGACTTCCCCTACCGTAGGCGACTCTGGCTCCACTCATCCGAACACCGTTTTCACGACGCTACCCGATCCCACACCGCGACCCGGTCGCCCTCGCCCACCGGCGACCGCTCGCTCTCGGGCCGCGGTACACGCGGTGGTTTGACCTCTTTGGATCAGATGCTCAAAGTCCGCCACTTCGGCATCTGCCGACGGCCGAAGTGACGAGGATCAGCGCAGGGTGAACCCAAACACACACGCCCCAAAAGGGGGGGGGGGTCCGGGTGATGGTGGCATGCGGTGGCAGGATGCCGGAAGATGGCCTGTTAGGTGAAACAGGATCCATCAGCTCGCAGCGTTTTCAAAGTAGGAAGTGGGAGTCTGCAAGCATGGATCGAGCTGAGGTCAAAAATCTCTGCCTGGCTCCGCTCTTTAAGCTATAGATTACCCACACACCTGGCATCAGCAGGCTATGTTAGGCAAATCCTGACAAATCCCTTCCACTCTAGGATGACCTGTTTTGAACGAAATAAGAAGCCGTTCAATTTACGCTTGACCGTTACCCTCAAACAGGCCAGTAGAACCACAGACCTGTTAACATGCGCCTGAAATGGATGTTTTTCTGGATATAGTCAGTGGGTTCAATCATCCCAACTACCAAATAGTTATCTTCTGAGAAGATCTGAGAAGAAGGTACGACTGGACCTTCCTTCAAGGTCACACAAAAGTGTCGAACACATCACCCTCGATAGGAGGGCATGCGGATCCATAATGGCATATCTGAAACCACCACCCAGTGTCTAATGGAACGTGCGAGGCGGTGAGCCTGTCACGGCGTTGCTAAAGACCTGCACCGGCTCCTGGCGGCATGCAGAGCTGCGCGCTCGCTGGGGCATGCAGAGCTGCGTGCTTGCTCAATTTGGATACTTTGTCTAGCGTTTATGGAATGACTCTTGATGCTTTTTGCCCGTCGCCGTGGCAAAAAAGCATGAACTCAGTCGGCAGTTGGTCAAAGCCACGCCGCGCCATAGATTGGAAAATTGCAGCCTGTTGTGCCGGGTTGGGCCACAAGCACTGAGACGGACCACCTCAATGTGTATTGGATGGTTGTCACTCTGAGACTCAAGCCGTTGTGGATCCAACATTCTCATATGTTTGAGGGTGTCGCTACTAGTGACAAGGGCATGACTACTAGCAGCAAGTATTAGCAGCTACAGTACTAGTAGCGATGCCCTTGTTACTAGTAGCGTATTCTCTACTACTCTTGGACAAGACATCAGGGTGCCGTTTTCGCAAGATGGCTGCCAACTTGGCTGCCATGCTTCTTTGCCAGCGCGAAGCTGCTGAGCAGAAGACACCTCAGTGACCTCCCAAAACAGCCCAAAACCAGGGGAGTCACTGGTCACTGAGAACTCAGTTGCCCTGGAGGAGTTACAGTTGCTCAAACCGCATCGACCCGGATGAGAGTTCAGAATCGACCCACCATGACCCACCTCTCCCGGATCGAAGCGGAGCCGCTCTCCTCTTCATGGAGCTGCTGCAACTGCTCCGTGAAAACACCTGGTTGGGGGGCTCTGTGACGCTGTCTGAGCGAGTGCTGACCGGTCCATGACCGGACCATCCGGCCCTGACGTCGGGTCGTCACTGGCAACTCGTCACCGGCAGGTCGTGTCGTCCACGGTCGTTTGGCACCTGACCCCTCGACCGCCGCCCCCTCCGCCGGGTGGGGCCCGACCCTCGCCTCGCGCGCCGAGGAGGAGGCTGAAGCACACCACGGCTGCTCGGCGCCGCAAAAGCCTCGGCGCTGCTCGGTGCGAAGGCTCCGAAGGCTGCGGGGGCTGGTCTTCGGGGCATTCCAGCCGTGGCGCGGCGTGGGAAGCGAAGTGCCTCTGGTGGCGTGTTTGATGGTTCAAATGTTTTGGGGTTCTGAAGGGAAAGGTCTGAAAGAGGACGAAAAAAGAACATGTCCGTGGACACGACTTGCGCACAAGTCAACAACGCTGCCCTCCAAGCCCTTTGTCATGTTGTATGACGGGGACTGGGGGTGTTGAAGTTATCCAAATTAGATGCAGGGTCCATCCCATGTTCATACTGTCGAGGGAACCAAATGGGAGGAACCTGTAGGCACTAAAAGGAAAACACATTGGAGGCTGCCATCGCATCGGAGTCGCATCAAAAAAAGGGTCCGAGGAGGCTCCGTGATCCATGGTGATCCGCGGTCAACGAAAGGGTCTACCTCTCTCCACCCCACCCCCCACCGGGTGAACCGCTGGGGGCCCCGGACATGCTTCCCGGACGTCCGTGTGTCCACCCCCCACACCTTTGTCCGAGGATGTCAGGCCACACGTTTGAACCATCTGAACGCGCGGAAGCGGCGGGCGGCGGCGCGGTCGACCCCAGCTCAGACGACGTGCGGATCGGCCCCGCCGGCTCAGGTGAATGAAGTGGCTCGCTTCGACCAGAAGCTGCTGCTGTGAACAGCCGTGTTTGGACGGTGCAACTCGTTGTGTCTCCCCTTTGGCCAACTTCTGGGTATCTGATGGAATGCTCAATCGGATCATCCAGTCGGTTCAACACTTGTTGTCGCCCCCCTTCAGGTGCCCCCGTCTCGCGGGCGCGCGTCGGCCACTCGAGTTTGTCCACCGGCACGGGCCAGGGCCATAGTCATACATGAACCCGCTCAGGAGTGGCAAGCCGGAGAAACACGTGTAACCACAAATTGAATGTGTATCACTCACAGACTCACTCACAGCTAACAAGGAATTGGACGTGATCAACCATTGCTTATATGATATCAATATATATATATATTAATATAATATATGGTTGTCATATATAGTTATCATATAAGTATAATGTATATATATATAATATGATATGCATGTACCATATGTACCAGTTTATTCTTCATGACTCAATCCTTCGCGGCTGCATGTTCCCGAATGGTCGGTCGAATTCGGCCCGTCTCAGACCAGTCCTCCAGACTGCTCCGTCGTCACCCCGTCCGTGCACAAATCCCTCATCCGCCACGCGCGTCTCATCCCCCAGCCAGCGCCGCCTTCGCGGGCATCTCCTGCACAGCAGGGAGAGAGGTTGGTGGTCCCCCCCTTTCGCTCCAACATCCATTCTTCTTGCGGGACATGGCGGTGCGACTGACTGTGCATCCCACAGACCCCTCGGTCGGGGAAAACCTAAGCTTTGAGAGGCGGATGTGGTCGTTGTGCTCCATGTTCTCCCAAGGAACTTGATTTGTGAAGTTTCTTTCTCCAGGCATCCGACCTCTCCATCAGCATCCGACCTCTCCATCAGCATCTGACCTCTCCATCAGCATCTGACCTCTCCACCATCAATCCCTCTGAGAACTGGTCCGCGCCTCTGCTTGCGATGCCAGAAACACCATGAAGGCCATGGTCTCCTCTTCGTTCTCCAAGTCCAACGCGCGGAACCGTTGGACGATCTTCCGACACTTCAAGGCGTGCTGCTGCTCCGCCGGCGCCTGCTTGGACTTCGTAGGACAAGGAGATACTAGAGTGAATGGAAGAAATCCAAACACCCTGATGCAGTTCCTGTGGAGAAACCTTGCCTCTTTTCTCCTCCCACTGAATGCATGAGGATATCATTCATGATTCATGATAATGGCCATCCTGAGAATGGCATAGATAATCATATGATAGTATGCCAGGAGTGACGCTTCTAGCGGGACCCCATAAACAATGGACATGAAACCCTCAATCTGGATGAAAGTTTGTAGAAATCTCTATTGCAAACATGAAGCTCTTGGGAGACTATCTACTATAGTTGGTTTTGCACCCACGGGATCCGATCCACCCCGAAACCTCCACCAGGTGGTGGGTCCATCCCAAACAACCTGACACAGCCAGATGCGAAAATGAGGCAAAAGGACCGTTTGTGACTGCAAGTGCAGAGATTGGTGCACTGATTGCCTGATTGCTTGAACCAAACATTCCCGGCAGCAAAATCTTGAACACTCTTTAAACAACAAAACACACACAAATTGACTACCCACTGGCACCAAACCTCCCTAAACTACGGACCCACCTCTGCAGACTCGCAGACGAGTCCTGTCCCTGCCTTCACTGGCACCTGTTTCTTCTGCTCAATCATGTCCAACACCTCCTGCGCACGCTGCAGCACCTCGGGGCTGAGCCCCGCCTTCCGCGCACATTCCAAGCCAAAGGATTTAGACGCACAGCCAGGCACCAGCTGATAGAGGTAGGCGATCGAAGAGGCGCACTCGAACTCGGAGTCCTGAAACACCAGTGTTATATAGCTTAAGTAGCTAGTAGCGATGGCCTCCAACCTAATAGCGATGGCCTCCAACTCAATAGCGATGGCCTCCAACCTAATTAATAGTGGCCTCCAACCTAATAGTGATGGCCTCCAACCCAATAGCGATGAAATCTGTAAGCCTGTTCTCTGTCCCATCTGTGGTTCCAGAATGTTGAAAGGAGCCAGGGAAGCGACCCTCCCTCACATCTTATTGATTTGAGCTGAATCCTTGGGATTTGTCGGGGAGGGTCTTCGTTCGTGCCACAGCTGTGAGGTCCTCACACCGAGAAACGTGGAACTTCTGTGCGTGTCAGAAGATGTTTTTAATACTGCGCAAAATAATGCAAAATACAAAATCAATAAAGAACACAAAAACAAACGAAATACAAGGACGGAATAGTTGTCTCTTTTTGTGTTTTTTCTGGTCGCTTCTTTTTGTTTGTTATCTAAGTTATCTAAATTATCTACGCTTCGCCTGAGCCCTAAAAAGAAACACTCATGGCTCATGAGACTCTTCACAGATCTCGTATGTCTGCAACCTCAGTGCCCTGTCTATCTCTCTGCATGGCCTGTCCTGTGGCAAAACCCTCAAGTGGCTCACTTGCAGGTGCTCTTCCTCTTCAGAGACGAGGCCCAAGCGAAAAATCTCTGTGAAGTGTGTCGCCACCAGAACCTCCCAGTGAACTGCAAGACTCAGAAACTACACGCAGGTCGGTCGCCAGGTAACGCTGCGTGACAATACTCATTGCAACACCCAACCCGACATCTTCCAACGTCCAATCGATCCCCAATCTATCCACATTCACTTGTCATCCATCATACTTATCCACCATCCATCATCCATCATCCAATTCTTCACCCTCACCCCTACGCCTTGCCTTCGGCCCTTGGCGCCAGCGGCAGAAATGCTCGATGGCAGCCCCTAGCAGCGCCACACCGTCCGCCGCGCGCGTGCCCTGGCCGAACTCGTCCAGCAGGACCAGCGAGGACCGGGTCGCGTGCTTCAGCGCCAGCGAGAGCCTCACGCGCCAGCGACACGCGGAACGTGCGGAACCCCATCGGACCGGAAGTAGTCCAGGGATTGTGCATGCTTCAACTCTAAGCATCTCTAAGCTATCATGCATGACAACCGACCACTTTATTTGTGTCCTGAGCCCGCCATCTCAAAACCAACTCTTTACCACTACACTACCACCTCTCCACCCACCGTGGGCCCGAAAAATCCCTCCCGCAGACCGAGCTGCTGTGAGAGGTCCAAGGCGAAGGAGGAGATCTGTGCGGTGGCGGTCTCCTCAACCCGCGTCCCGCGAACGTTCGGACCGGACACAGCTCCCGACACCAGCGTCTATCGCGGCGTCTATCGCGGCGCGGTGTCCACCGGCGAAACAGTGGGTTCGTGGGCCAAGAAAGCACGGAAAAGGTGTGGAAGACATTTAAAAGACCAGGAAGAAACAAAACTTCGAGCTTTTAATGAATGATATATTAAGTGAGAATTTGTTTGTTCTGATTGTTTTACCTTGGTTTGCACATCCCGCAGGCGCTGCTATGATTGCCTTGTGGCTTCGTTGTGTTTCTTTGGTTGGCATCCACCCATGCAAGCTGGATGGAGACTCCCTCCAAAAACGTCCAAGCGCTATCCCCCTTCGCCATGCCCGCGCCAGGCCACGCAGCTCTGGATCCGCGAGAAGATGAAGTCGCAAAGACCCAGCTGCGCCTCCTCCGCCGGCACAAAGGACCCTGCGGGTTTCGGTTTCGCGCGGGGGTTTCGGCGGCGGTTTTCAGGATGGGAAGGACTGAGCTTGCCGGTTAGACCAAGACAAAGGCCTTGGCAGGCCAGATGTCTGGCACGATTGCGGGCAAAAGAGAGTCGAAGCCAACATGTCCAACTCTGAGACAAAGCAACATCCTTTTGGTCATCTTGACATATCTTGACAAGTGTCTTCCGGTATGGAAGTCATTGAAGCAAAAGATGCGGAGCTGATCTCAATCATCTGGAAACTGATCTGTACATTGCAGCATCTGAAAATGAGGTCCACTGGCTTCAATCGCCAGAGCTGTACAAGGTCCAAGGCTGTCGGAAGTGCTTCCCACAAAACTGAAGTCCGGACTCCTCCTCAATGCGTAGGAGCTGGTTGTATTTGGAGAGGCGCTCGCTCCTGCATGGTGCACCGGTCTTCAAGTGGCCAGTGCCCAAGCCGACGGTCAAATCAGCAATGAAGGTGTCCTCTGTTTCGCCCGATCGGTGCGAAACGAAGACACCCCACCGGTTCTCTTTGCAAATCTTCCAGGCGGCGATCGACTCGCTGACGCTGCCGATTTGATTCACCTTCAAGAGCATGGCATTCGTTGCCTTCTGCTTTAAGCCCATCTGCACCCGCTTGGTGTTGGTGCAGTAGATGTCATCTCCCACGATCTCCACCTTGTCACCCACAATGGCCGTGAGTTGTGCATGACCTTCAAAGTCCTCCTCGGCAAAGGGGTCTTCCAAGAGGGCGATAGGATAGGTGTCACAAAAGTGCTTGTAGAGAGCCACCATCTCCTCTCTGGACTTCTTCTGCTCCGGCCTGGGTGCTTTGCACTTGAAGTCCAAATCATACTTCTGCTCCTCCGCCTTCCAGAACTCCGAAGAGGCTGGATCCGAGCCGATCAGAATCTTCCCAGTGTGACCTGCTTGATCAATGGCTTCCAAGAGGAGCTTCAGGCCTTCCTCGGCGTCATTCACAGCAGGTGCAAAGCCACCCTCGTCGCCCACAGCAGTGGAGTCCAGGCCATACTTCTTCTTGATGATACTCTTGAGGTTGTGGTACGTCTCCGACCCTAACTTCATAGCCTCTGCAAAAGTGCGTGCTCCGAGTGGAATCAGGAAGAATTCCTGAAAAGCTAAGTAGTTCCCAGCATGGACGCCGCCATTGATGACATTGAAGCAAGGCACCGGCATGCACATTGGAGGCTTGCCAGCCAGCTCATTGATGTGCCTGTACAAAGTGATGCCTTTCTGTGCAGCTCCAGCTCGACAGCATGCCATGGAAACACCCAAAATGGAATTAGCCCCCAAGTTGGTTTTGTTCTCAGTGCCATCAAGATCCAGCATCAACTTGTCGATGCTCTCCTGATCTGCAGGATCCTTGCCCATTAAGACTGGGGCGATTTTGGTGGTCACATTGTTCACTGCCTTTAAGACGCCTTTGCCCATGTAGTCAGAGCCGCCATCCCTCAGCTCGCAGGCTTCATTCTCCCCCGTGCTGGCGCCGCTCGGCACCGCAGCACGGAAGGTGCCCTGCTCGGTGGTCACCTCCACCTCAACGGTCGGATTGCCACGGCTGTCAAAGATCTGACGAGCGTGGATCTTCTGAATCGGCATGGGACGGACGGAGACCCGGACGACACAGGCGACAGGGTTTCGGGTTCGACTCGGCGACGCGGCGAGTGGCTCGAAAGGGACTCCTGGAGCCGAGACAAGCAGGCGACCGGTCCCAAACCGAAGCCTTCATGGATGAGCCTGGCAGTTGATTGATGGTGCGTCCCGAGTGTTTGACACGGGGGCAAGACATCATCTTAGACATGGCCAAAGCCGATCTTTTGACTTCGGCCGAGACAAGCCAAGCTTCCGAGATCCCTGTCAGTGCTTTTCACCAAGGTCGATGCACAGCAAAAAGAAAGAGAGAAAGTCGGTCCCTGCCTATGTGTGCCAGATAGGTGATAAGGCCAACCTGTTTCAAGTAGACCTGACTGGAGAATCTGAAAGGGGGGAACTTTCAAGGGGAAATTGGCCAAATAGATCCAAATAGACTGTTCACCCCCCACAAAGACCAGAATGAGGGGCCACAATCATTCATAGTTGGGACGAAAAGAATAGACTGACCATAAATCATAGGACAATCAGCTCATCGATGGACTCAATAGACCAATTAACATCAATTAACATGCTTCCAACTGATGTCCCCGCATGCCATAAACACCCACTGTGGCCATGGCCACGAGCTGTTTGTGTGTTTGCGAGCAAAAAGGCTTGGATCGTGCCACACTCGTGCCATGTCGAGTCATCAGCAAAGCCCTCTATTGTATAGTCCAAACCAAACCAAAAAGCTTCAATGCAAAAATGCAGGGCTCTAAGGAAAGTGAACATCAATACAATACTGTTGCTAACAACACAAAGAGGTGAGACTCTCTCCTGGCATGCCACCCACATTGTTCTCTCCCAGGGGCAGATTTTCCCGAGAGGTTGGCCCCAGTGATGACCTGCACTCGATAGGACCGCTTCTCTTCCAGGCCCAGCTCCGTACCTTTGGGTGTGAGCGGAGAATTAGGCATGAGACGATGACATGGTGCCTGGTGCTCTGTGAAACTATGCGAATGGCGCAGAGCCGGGCGCCGTGATTCCCAGGTTGAATGAGATCCAATGGCTTTTGCTGGCGTTGGGCCTTTTTGTTGACCACCCCCCCCCAAACCGACACCGAAGCCACGGGACCGGTGTTCCCTGCCACAGATCCATCACCGAAACCCGCTTCGGAAAAAACCCACCGAAACCCGCTGAGCAGCTGTTGGCCACGAAGCCGTGCGCAGCCTTTGGGGCGGTCGCCTCGACCAGGGGATGGCGACCCTTGACGATGTGCAAACGCCCCGCGTCCTCGACCAGCTTCGGCCGCACCTGCAAAGGTGCGTGCTTTTCGGCAGCGGTCAGGGGTCAGGCCAGCCCGGTGGCAAGGGGGGAAAGCTGGGAACAAAAGTCATTGGAATGCGACCCTTGAGTGGGGGAGGCGATGGTGGATATGTGTCTGGCTTGGGGCGACGGACTACTAGTAGAGTAGATGAAAATATAGATGACATATTTTACCAGCTGAGTCGGCTGAAGGTTTGGATCGACAATCAGAGAGCTTCATGAGGCAAACAAATCAATACCTGCGATTTTGAGAGAGGCATGGTTAGAACGTGTTACAACTGAGAACCGACTAAGTAACAAACATTATGAATTCATCATCTCTAAAAAGCAAACAGAAAACATCTGGAATTCCTCTATGAATTCCTTTATGCTTATCCTTTCTCCAACGCTGCCGAGTCCCCAACTCCTCCCTACAGGAAGATTGGAACTGATGGCATGGACCTTTGGAAGACGATCTTCTTCTACAAACCGGGCGTGGTTTTCGGGTTCCGTGTAGGTCCAGGTCTCAGGCGCACCCTCCAGGTCAAGGCACCCAGTTCCACTGCAGTGCAGCTGCAGCAAAGGCCATGAGCACGTCCACCTCTGCCAGCAGCTCGCTCGCACTGCGCAGGCGCGACTCCAATGCCTGGGCTGAGGTGTCTGAACACCCAAGAAGTTGGGAGCCTCCCAAATCACAGCACATTTATGCATATTTACACATATTTGCTGAGTACTCATATTTGACATTAGCAAAGAATAAACCCTAACACGTCTGCGGCGACAATCCGGTCGCGTCCACAAAACCGAGAAGAACTGCTGCGCTCTTCTCGTTTCGAACTCTCTCAATCTGGAGGGTCGAGGAACTCTCAAGCGCTCCAAGAGTTGCATGAGAATCTCCAGCTCCACCCCACGCGCATCCACCACCAGGTCGCCTCGCCGGAAACGGACCGGTCAACCGCTCCGAAAACCGGACCGTCCGAAACGGAGTCCCGAAGCAAAACCTGGGCCGAGACCTGTGTTGCTGGGCCGAAACCAGAAACTGGAAAGATGAAGTTGCAGAAGATGAGCCCGAAAAAGATCTAAAAGGTGCATCCCTGTCCAAGCGCAAGTCTTGGGTGTTCTTTTCCAAAGACTGCATCCGACTGCGTTGTGGTCTAGTCTACCACATGTAGTTCTTGGATTTTGTTTGGTTGCACGTCTCGATCAAACCTGGACAGGGTCAAAGTAAAAGAAAGCTCCACTGTGTCACGATGTGGTGAAGATAACATTCAACGCCTTTTAACCTCCTTTCTTGCCACCGACTTCAGCACCTCAAAGAGCAGCTCAGCAGCTCACATGCATTTCTCTCTTTGACCAGCTCACACATCCTCCTATCTCCTCCACCGGAAGCCGTCCAAGCCAAGGGACCCACTTCGCAGTCCAAACGCCGAGCTAAGTCGCACTTGTAGAAGAGCCGCCCGTAGCCTGGCGGTTCAACCGCCGCGGTCGGCGCGGTCGGGGCGGTCGCCCTGCGGTGAGGTCAAAACCGTTGTTTTCCGGTGAAAAGATCGGCGGGAGTTCACCAGGCGGAAGATGGGGGAGGATCAGAATCCATGATGGAAGGAGATGACTCGCTTGGAGATGACTGATGATTCTAGTGGTTGAACTGTTAGGTTCCTTCTTTCTCTTTGCTTCAAGGTTCGAAACTATAGATTTGTCACTTCATTAATTAAGCATGGAGGCTATTGCACGCCCTCGGGTCTGTCTGACGGGGCGGGTGCTCCGACTCCCCGTGCCTGCGAACTGGAAGTGCCAATCTTCTGCAGGCAACGGCACAGCATCCCGCAAGGCATCCAGGCTCTCCTACCCAGGAAACAACATGAAACGACCGGACGAAACATGCATTCTTCTGCGAGTCAATAGAAGTTTTACACAGTTTTACTATTCTCAGCGTCGGCATTCATTTAATTGTGGAGTGCAGTAAGTGTTCTGTCCATTCTGCGAGCCCCCAATGATCTCAAACCCCCGCTCCAAGAGTTCCCCAGTGTCACCAATCGCACTGACTTCAATTTATGCATTGGACATAGAACCTTGCAAAGGGTGTTTGCACCACATGGCTGACATCTCCTGCATATGGCCCCTTTTCCAGCAAGTAAGCTAAGCACAAACCAATGTAAAGATAAATAAGCATACAAAAACACACACTTAGAGAGATGCTGCTCACAAGAGCTGAGTCAGTGAGTGAAGTTCCACTTTAGTGAATACGATACCAGGAGGGCGCCCTTTAATGGCGATAAAAAAAGTCTCCTAATAACGAAATTGCTGCCCCTAATAGCGATAGAAAATGTCATCTAATAACGAAATTGTGGCCCCTAATAGCGAAAGAACATGTCTCCTAATAACGAAATTGAAGGCCCCTAAAAGCCATAGAAAAATGTCCTCTAGTAGCGAAATACTAGACTAAGGAACAACCACGACCTCAAGAACACATGACACTGAAGTTGATTCAAAAGAGCCATGTAACTCTCACGCAGTGAAATCACATTTTTTCCTGCTACAGCTTTCGCCGTCTACAGCTTTCACGGATTTCACCGTGCTTTCTTTTGCGCTGGCTCACTGCTCTTCCTTTCCTGGCAGACATGCCATAAACAGTGGGTTGAAAGACCTTCAAGAATGTTCCAAAGACCCGTCTGAAAGTGTTTTTTGCATGGTAAAAAACAGGGCAGGCAAGTCTTTGGAACTATTTCACCAACACAAATCGTGCTGCGCAACGGATGTTTCATTGTCAGTCCGTATAGGTACAGTACAATGTATATATTGTCCGAGCCGTGTCAAAGGTCCTGTCCGTATATATTGTTCTCTCCACGGTCTGTCGTTCCAGTTCATGGAATCTCCTTTTCGAAACTGCTGGTAGCATGCCTAGTTCGTTGCAGCTATTTAATCAACAACTTTCCTGTAATGCAATGACCCCTTTTGAAACTGCTGGTAGCATGTCTGCCAGGACATGCCGTTCTTTTCCTGGCAGACATGCCACAACAGTGGGTTGAAAGACCTTCAAGAAAGTTGCAAAGACCCGTCTGAAAGTGTTTTTTGCGTGGGAACAAGCCAGGAGAGGCAAGTCTTTGGAACTATTTCACCAACACCTTCCCGTGTTGCAAAAAAATTGAGGCTGGTCTTTGGAACCCATTGTTTCGTCCAATTTTCAACACTCACTCAAAAAGGACGGCGCTCCGCCTGTATGTTCTCCAGAGCGCACAAAAGCCGGATCACTTTTGGTCTGTTGGACCCTCGAAGACCCCGACTTGCAAAGATCACTCTAAACTGGCACCCCAGGCCGGGCACCATTCACCGACCCACCGATCCACGGCGACCGACGGAGCCTCTCCGGGCGGATATTCGGCTCGGGCACCACCTGCGGCAGGTATTCAGCCCGAGCAGGTCTGCGTCGGACACAGGAATGTATACCGCTTAGTGGACCGGACCTTGGTCTGTTGGAACCTCTGTTGGAACAGCGGGTTGAACACTTTCAAGAAAGTTCCAAAGACCCGTCTGAATGTGTTTTTTGCATGGAAAAAGGCCAGGAGAGGCAAGTCTTTGGAACTTTTTCACCAACACAAATCTTGCTGTGCAACGGATGAAGAAAAGTTCCAAAGACCCGTCTGAAAGTGTTTTTGCATGGAAAAAACCAGGGGAGGCCAGTCTTTGGAACTATTTCACCAACACCTTTGCGTGTTGCAAAAGACATTTAGACTGGTCTTTGGAACCAACTATTTCGTCCAATTTTCAACACTCACGCAAAAAGGACGGCAATCCGCCTGTATGTTCTCCAAATGTTCCGAATCATCTGGACGTCGCTCAGGAAGTCCGTGTGGGCCCGGCCGACACACACCATGAAGCCAATGGTATTCTCCATCTCGCTTTCAGAAGCAGTGCTTTGCTTCAGCATTGCTTTTTTTGATCTTCTGGGATGGTTAAAACACGGGGAGGCAGGGAAGGTGACGAATGCTGCTCCAGTGGCTCGAAACACTCAGCTGGCCGCCTCCATCCCGGTGACAGCTGGCCGCCGTGGCTCGAAACACTCAGCTGGCCGCCGTGGCTCGAAACACTCAACTAACTAGCTGCGTGTCCCAATGTTGGTTTGCTGAGCAGTACGTTGGTTTGGCTTGGCTGAGCAGTACGTTGGCTGAGCAATACGTTGGTTTGCTGAGCAGTATGTTGGTTTGGCTGAGCAGTACGTTGGTTTGGCTGAGCAGTACGTTGGTTTGGCTGAGCAGCACGTTGGTCCTGCGCCCTTGTTACCGCTGCACTATTAATGTGTTCAAGTATTTGCGCGGCCTCAAACTCATTGAGCCTGCTCACTGCTTCCAAGGCCATGGAACATGACTGCACATTGGTCTCGCATTGTTCTTTCATCATCATCCTATTGGATCAACTGCAACTGAAAGACATTGAGATTCAGGGTTTTGTTTCGCAATTAGGAACTGTTGTTTCGCAATTAGGAGGTTTTGTTTCGCAATTAGGAGGTTTTGTTTCGCAATTAGAAGGTTTTGTTTCGCAATTAGAATCTCTTCTTCGCAATTAGAATCTCTTTTTCGTCATTAGGAGGTACCCTGCGATACCAGCTGCAAATTAGACCTAAACGCAATAGTTAGCGAGCGGGACTTTAGTCTTAGACCGCCCGGGTAGCTAGGACTAGGACAGGAGAAACAGAAGGAAAGGCACCAACACACAAGTGTGTTGAGTGCGATTTCCCTCTGTTACCCTAGATAGCGGGTGGGATAGCAACAGATGAGGTGCAAGGAGGTAGGGGGGAGGGTGGGTTAGGGTGGCCCGAAGGCACTGCCGTCACCGGTGCTCAAGCAAAGCCGCAACCAGCGCTCCCTTGACTGAAGGCACCTGAAACCTAAAGAAAGGCCTCAAGAAAACGAAAAGCAACAGCAGGAAAGAAAAACCAAAAGAGAACCCACCCACGTTACTCTCGCTCTCCTCGCGTCACGTTTCGCCGTATACGGTGCTCCCTTGACGAAAGCTTACCTCATACCTAAAGGCCTCACGTTTCTCACTCCCTTCACGTCACGTTTGGCCGTGCTCGGGGTTCGTTTTTGTGTCGTTTCGTGGTTTGCACATGCGCAGGTAAGTCAGTGGGCCCTGCGGCACTCAATCCCAGTAAGCCCTGCGGCGTTCAATCAGCAGTCTCGTGCAGTTCCGTAAGCCAGTGAGGTTGCAAGTGAAGGTCACATGAAGGAAAGGAACAGTCAGAAGGGTTCCCCCAACAAATTGGGTCTATGCACATGCAGAGCCCCTCGATGGGGATCACACCACAGCCCGCAGTGGGACTCTGTGGCGGCACACACTTAGAGAGATGCTCGCAAGAGCTGAGTCAGTGAATGAAGTTCCCCTTTAGTGAATACGATACCAGCTGCAAATTAGACCTTGACTTTCAAACGGAAAGGTGGAGGAGTCCGCTTCTACTGTATTGTTTAACAAGGGTGAGACGGAGAAAGTTGAAAAAATGCAGGTATGTGAGTCAGGCGTCCCTGACCCATGTCACAGGAAATCCATGGTGTCTTTCCCCCTGCCTTTAAAATGTTGTGCATGTCGATTGAAACAGGAAGCGAGACACACACACATAGAACAGTGACAGCTTCGTGTTCCCCAAAAATATCTCTGCTGCAGAGCCCTGACTTGGGCCCTTGGCGGTCCTCCCCTGTGGGGTTCGGCAACGAGGCATGGAAGCCGAGCCTTGGAGGGGCCGCTGTCAGTCCCTCAACTCGTTGGACCAGCTTTTTGGACGTTCGCTACCCTGAGGGGGGGGGGACCCACACAGTAGCTATAGATAGCTTTTGAAAGCTACCCATGATGAACAACGCGACCCCCAGAATCCTCTTCAAGTGCGTGAATTCTTTCATCTTTGAACAAGTGGTTGGTTCTCTAAAAACCAGAGGACACCGAAAGGGCTGGGGAGCCATGCACCTGGAAAGTTGTTGAGTTGTTGCACCACATCCAAATGCTGCATCACATACTGCATGACATGATCTTGGAACCCAGTCTGTCCCCTTTTTCAAGGAACGCCAATCCCCCAAAACGGCACCCCGTTGGATCTTGGCTGCCGAACTGTGGGAAGTAGTGGAAGACGATCGACTCCTCATGGACGTTGAATCCATCGACCAATTCACGTTTGAGTTCGCGGCATCGACTCCTCGTTGAGTTATCTCGTTTAGATTACTCTAAGTCTAGTAGCAAATCAATGCAAAAAGTGTCAGGATGAGTCATTGACGTGCATGACCTCGTTGTGTTCTTGTGGTGATATCTATGATTAATTAATCAAGTCACATTGTAGACTATACTGATGCGATAAATGAAGTAAAAAGCAAGCATTGTGTCTTTTGGTGCCAACCTCGCCGGAAACAGACGATGACCGAACCGGGACATGAGGCATGCATGACCAGGCCAGGGTTTCCTCCTAGATGGCTTAGCTGATGGCTTGTCCTAAACTCGTGACAGCACGCTGTTTGGGCCCCAACCCAAATGCAACTGAAGGCCCTGAAAGTAACTTGCAAGTCTTGGTCTTAAGAGTCTCAAGTCTCAATACTTACGACCATGACTCATGTGACTGTACAAGACTATATACTGCATTCCGAATGGCCAAAAAAGACAAGCACTTGGGCCGCACCCATCCGCCTGGACCATACCCACCCATTTTTCCGGCCCCCAACGCATCGCCAGGTGGCCGAACGGTTCTTCAGGCGCCGCCTCTCCAAGCCCGCCATCTTCGACAAATGCGGCTCCAGCTGCGCATACCTCACGTGCTTTCGACGCTTTCCGAAGGTCCGAAACGTCGCGGTCTTCGCCTTGGTCTGACTTCAAGGTTGTGGGGTCGTGAAGGGTGTTGTGGGGGAACGCGCGGGTGAGCTGATCGCGGCTGGCGGCTGGCGGCGCAAGTCATCCAGCTTGGGATCGATGCCGCTCTGCACGTGCACCAAGCTCGCATCTAAGTCACCTGGTCTCGCGACCAGCGGTCTCCTTCATTCAATGTCCAGTTGAAAGGTGTTCATCAGACGAAGACCAACCAGCAGTGCCGTACTTGGCTGGTTTTCTCCCCAAAGTCCAGCCCTCCAAGCACTCTACAACAGTACTTGCTGGACCTTTATGGTGAGAACATGTGAGAACGACCCCGTGTTTTTCCCTCAGAATTCCATACCGGTCCATCTGAAACAGAGAGGCCCTTCGACCCCTTCAGCCGACCTTCCGAGGTTCATCCCCCAGAAATGCCAACCCTTTGTGCCTTCCGCGGGCGAAGGGCGCCGCTCCCAATCCACCACGCGCTGCAGCACACGCTCCGCTGCAGAGATGTCACCCATCAGGCCCTTGCCTGGAAGAGAGCCAAGAGTTGCATGTTCAATCATCTTCATGTCATTGGGGTTGTGCCTTCCCAGCGAATCCCCCGCAGAAGTTGGTTCTTCGGACATCAAAACCAAGAAGACGTTGGCTGCAAGGTCACAAGACAGCACCTTTCACAGAATTCCCCATCTTCCAAACTCGCCACTCTGGATGGTCCATGTCCAGAACCCTTGCTGACACCTCAACCGCCGCCCTTCGCCTGCTGTGAAGGCCGCCACGGGCTGATCACAAAGGCGACTCGCCTGTCTGGCTGGGCCACTTCTGCTCACTTGCAATATCTTGCAAGTTGTTGTGGTTGGCTGGTGGCCCGGTTGCCAAGCTAATTTGTATAAACGCAACCTCTTCGCCTTTGGATGGCGTCCCCCGGTTTGGTTTGGAAGGAAGTCGAGGGTGCCCCCTCTGTGATGCTGCGATGGCATCTCTCATAATCATTGCTTCCGTCTGTACCATGGTACCATGACATGGCCTAGACAGAGAGGCCATGATACCATGAATATCTTTCTTCTTTCGTCCGCCTTCTGAAGAATCTCCAAGGCCGTCGACATGTGTCCGAGGCTGGTCACCAACGAGCGCCAATCCACCATGTTGTCAAAGTTGTAGCCTACAGTAACAGCCGCTTTCGAAGGAAGAATCCAGAGCCTCCCCTCCAGGGACCGTCCCCAAGAGCTTTGGGTGTTTTTGTCCTGCGAATCATCACACCGGGAGATGTTGTTTAATTCAGAGGCACCCAAAAAGCCTTCGCTCCGCCAAAAAGCTCCGCTCATCTCCACTAAAAAAGCGACCATATCTTCCGCGCCACAGCGGTCTTCCAAAAGAAACCTGCACCACACATACACACATATATCCCTCCTCTTTTTCTCTCTCTCTCTCTCTCTCTCTCTCTGTCTCTGCATTCCAAGTGGCATCGATGCCTCAGTGGGTGTCCCGCCCGGGCATCGCTACGAACCATCCATCCATTGTTTTAGGTATTAATACCAGAACGCCCGTACAACGGGTGGGACGTGCTGTGAGGTGCTCTCGGAGCGGTGGCTTGGGAGACTGGGAGAAGCTCCTGCACCGAGGGCCCAAATGCATCACGATTGGTACTCAGCCATCCACTTGATCACTTGGTTCATTTCAGGTCCACAAACCCACAAACCACCTCGGCCCTGGAAAACACCAGTTTCACAAGACGAAGAAGGTCGTAGCGGCTTAGCGCCAGCCCATACTGCTCAATTAGATCTGTCAGCGAGGCACATGCGCGACAAGAGTTTGGGCAACTCCTGCGTCATCCGCAACTCCCGGTGCAGCTGCCGCACCTCGACCGGTCGACCGAGTCTCAGTGGCGTGGGTCGATGCTTCGTCACCACACGGTGAAGTAGGCGCGGCGGATTTGGAGTTCCGTTCCAACAGCTGGACGTGTTCCTCTTGAGTCCTTTCGGCTGGCACTACTTAGAAAGTGTTTAAAAGGTGACCTTTCGTCTTCTCAAGTCGCATCCCTTTCTTCAAAATTTAAGCAGCATAGAGCCCGAACAGCTTCAGCAGGATGTTTGCTGCGTCATTTCCTTGAGGATGAACAAGGGACAAGACTCCGCCGCGGCCAAGCAGTGGACTCCGGCCCCGACCCCCAAAAAAACAGGTCTAAATGGGCCGACTGACCACCACAGCACCCGGACGAAACCCACGGAGCGGCCGAGAGCGAGCTGCAGTGGCGGAACACGGCCCGCGGGAGGCCAAACAGGACGTATCCGAGGTCATGAAGCCGAAAACAAGAAGAAATGAGAAGAATAGAATAATAGAGAAACACTTTCGACAGCATCAGGCTATGCGAAAAACAAAGGTCATCAAAAGTCAACAGAACATACTTGCTAGGCTCCACCAGACTCCACCAGACTCCACCGGACTCACAGAGCGTCCAATCGTCGAGCACCAACAACGCGAAGGGCGACGGCATCGACACACAGAGACCGGCACAGCATGCCACAGCATGAAAGGACAAACACCGAGAATGCGCAGGCCGGAACCAGGAACCTTGGCATCGTTCGGCATGTCATAAAAATCAAACATGAAATCCGCCAAGTAAAGTGGCTTCCTCCTCCAGATCCGTGATGTTCCATTGTCCTCCGCTTGATTGGTCTTTCCATAAAGACAGCTCGGCTGAGCTGGGCACCAGCTCGGCGCCGGAGCCCTGCAGAAGGGCCACGAGCTGCTGCACCCCCTCCTGCCGCTGCTCCAGCAACTCACGCCGCCGACCTCCGACGAATGGAGCGCGGCCGCCCGACGACCTCCGATGCGCCGCTTTGTTTGGAACGGTCTAATTGGTCTATGAAGGTGGCCATGGACTGATTCAGTGTGATGGGCCGGGTGTTCGGGGGGGAAAGGGTCCCAAGATCTCTTCAGGAGTGCGCAGATCGGTCCTGAAGTCCATGTCTAGGATCTGGAAGTTGAAGGATTTCCTTCTCAGTTTGCCGTGAAAGGCGAGCCGCTCAGCAGTGCCCAAGGACCTCTGGGCCGGGCGGCCAGATCTGGGTTTCACCTTGCGCCGCACTCACCGGACTTGCTGCCCAGCGACTGGGCTGCCGGAGCCAGCGGCGCAGCTGCTTCTGGCCACCAGTGGAGGCCACCAGCGGCTCTAGCAGCGAATACACCGAGAGGCCCTGGCAGGTGGATGAGATCATTTTCGGGAAATACCAGTCTTCAAGAAACACCATAAATCGAAGACTCAGCAAGTGAAAACATGCCAGGGCCCCGTTTCGGGTGTGTCCAACAATAGCTGCAAGAAGAGGTTATAGTTATGGGGTGTCCATGAACCACCCCAAACCGGGGGCCCTGGTGATCATGTTGATCATCTATTGCAGAACTCGTAGAATCGAATTCAGTCCCAATGACCCAATGACCCATGGTGGCTTGTGGGTGTCTCCGAACCCGTTTTGACTTCCTTCTTTTCCTCTGTGTTGAGTGCATAATAGTTCCAACTCTTTCTATTTTGGCTGAGTCTTCACTTGGCTTTTCTTCACGTTGCTTTGGACTCTGATCGTTGCGGCAAGAGTGGCAAGAAGTTGAACCGATATATCAATGAAAGGGCGTTCAACTGTTCAATCAAGGAATGACTAGACTTGGAATGACCAACTTCAACACGAAAAAACAAAACACCACACCTTTTTGGGCTCCTCAAGAACTCGTCTGGGCAGCCAATGGGGTTTGTAGAGGAGAGATCTGCCGGTTTGTCTATGTGGAACGTCGCTGAACTAGGTCGGGCCCTCCTAAATGATCCCAAAAGCTGCCTCAGAAGCCTTGTTGGAGACCCTCATCAACAAGTTCTGCTGCTCCTGGTGCGAAACTGGAAAGACAGCTGTTGGCTGGACATCTGCAGTTTGACATGATGCAAGCGATGGGGGCGAGAGTTTTGGAGGAACCCCGTGTTTGAATCACTGTGACGACAGTGCCAGTAACACGTGTCCATGCTACAGTCACTCGTGAACTGCCCTTGCAGCAGTCAAAGCAGCGAAGGAAAGGTGCAACTCCCGGCACCAAGCTTTGCAAACACTTGCAAACTACCATATGAATCCATATGATGTTGTTCCAATCAATCGACGTCACTCCATGACATGCCCATATAGTTCAAGAAATAGAACTCAAATCAGCACTTGCTTACCTGAGTTGTCATGTCACCGTGTCACCCACACAATCCCACACAATAAACTTGATGGGCCGACAATCAAGCTTGCAGTCCTGAAAGACCTGGAGAGCCATCATGGTTTGGGCATCGATAAACACCGTGTCGTCTGGTGAGAAGAGCCGGATGTCCTCCAATGCAACGTTGTCTGGAGAATTGAGAGGTGCTTCGTGCACAGACTCCCTAATATGAGAGATGATCCCATCCTGATCTACTAAAATCGGGAACATGATCAAACAGTTGTGTCAAGTCTTGAGATGCGAGCGGCGCTATGCTTTTGACATGCGGCATGCCAGGCTCGAGAAATATCCGCCGGCTCCGGCAGCTGGGGAGCGCGCCAGAGGAGACTGCATTGTGGGGCTTGGCAATGCGAGTAACATTGGTTTAAAGTGGTTATTGATACCATAAGGGTGCGCGAGGGTGGAGAGAGGTGTGGCTGAGGAGGCCGTTGCAGTAGTACCAGACAGGTTGCATGCTGGCCATAGCCAGGAATAGAGACTAGCCAGAGACAAGGTAGACTTTAACCAGCGCGAGAAAGCAACGTTTGGCACTGAGCCGGTGGCTTTTGAGAACGTTTTTCGCATCGTTTTAGATTGGTTATATAAAGGCGTGGAAGGGGGACAGGGGCTGTTCCAACGGTTTGTAGGCTGGCCATAGCCAGGCCTGAGACAATCTAAAGCAGCGAGAGTAGAGGTAGACTTTGACCGGCGTTGGAAAGCAGCGTTTGGCCGGGGTTTGGCTTCGCAAGCATGCATACAGGCGTCCAACCCCATTCTTTGTTCCTCTGTCCTTGCGGAAACTCCGTAGTCTGTCCAGTCGATTGGTCCTGTTCAGTCTGCGGTGTGTTTGTTACCGGCGCAACGCTCGTATTTGTTGCATGTTGTTTGTGCGTGTGCTTGCTGACAGACAAGAGTCCTAAAGGCGCCAATGCCAAGCCAAGTCCATGAAGTTTGGTTTTTCCATCGCAAAGTCCAAATTTGAAAGGCATATTACAACCATGTGGGGAAGCGCAACCTGACAACAACCGTTCACTAGTTGATATTGGGGTGATACGAATACTTGAAGATTGGAGCTCTACCTCCAAAGAATTGGGTCGATGGCCATGAGCTACGTCTGGATGCCGAGCTTGTGAGATTGGAAGCGACAAACATGTCAAGCGCTGCGTTGAGAGGCATGGTGAGTGGATGGGACAGAAATCATGTTCAAAAAGGGCTCTGGATCAGTGAGGTGCAAATCAGGTAGGTGTCTAGCAGCTAGCATAATTTTGCATATGTTGCATCAATATCATGATTCCTATATTATTAATATATTTAACAACCATAATTAGAAGCTAATGATTTAAAGTATTAATCAACGAAAGTATTTCAAGAAATTACAACAATGTTAAAACATGTTTTTGCATGTGTTTAGGATGTCAAATTGAACCATAATTTTGAGATCAACATCAATCGCATAAAGAAAGCTGTTTAAACAACGCTTTTGCACATGAAATGCCATTAAATAGTCACAGTCACATAATATACTGTAGTGAGACTCTCAATGTTCAGTGTTGATGACCTTTGCTGCGAGTGTCTGGCAACAGTTCTTGGGGAAACGGTCTTTCCCCTTTCACTGATTCTGATTTGGGTTGACTTGCTTTTGTCGTGGGGCGGGCGTTGCGGGGGCCGTTCCAGTGCTGGCCACGGCCGCCTCCGAGCGTGGTGACCACCGACACCGCACGTGTGGAGTGTCGGGCGCGCTGGGCACCGAGCGGGGGCTAATTTGGAGTGGCGTTGGTCTAACGGGTCTAACGCGGTTATCGACACGCAAGGGTGTGGCAAGGCTGGGGGGAGGTGTGGAAGGCCGACGGTTGCTATCAGCACAAGAAGCGACGGCTACGCAGCGTTTACGGCAAGGGCAGGACGTACGCTCTCAAGCCGATGCCTCGCTCTTACTTGGATGTATTCGTTGAAGATCAATGGAAAATCCCCATCACGATGCATAGAAGATCAAGCTTCCCCAATTCCATGTCGGGCATTCGATCGTCAACAACCATTCCATCACTTCCAAGGGGTCAGCAGCGGCGTCAGCCCGATTGGGAAGTATCAAGTGGTTCCGAAACAGGTTGCAGGCGTCGAACACTGAAGTGGGTCGCCTGCCCAAAACAGATCCAAACCCAAAAATCAGAAGAAAAAAGGTTTGCCTCGGAAACAGGGTTTCATCTATCTGAAGTGGACAGTTTGCTTTGCCCCTATTCCCTAAATGGATGTCGAACACAAAATCAACAGGAAGAGGATTATGAAAAGAATTGAAAAGATATGAAAAGCATGTATCTCATGGGCAGCAACAAAACACAGGTCAAGGTATAAGGCCAAAACAACATGTGAACATGTCCTGTCCGTTAAGAAATGGTTTCTCACCAAGATTGCCCAAGTGCTCCCCATATCCCCCAAACAAAGCATGCCATCGTTGAGTGAGGCGTCGATCACGGCCTGCACGGAAGGCCCGTGATTCTGCAGCTCCCCCAGGAGCGCGCCGTTCCTCGGGGGACCGACCGGTGACCGGTGACCGGTGACCTGGCCTTTTGGGGTGACGATGAAGTGGTTTCATGTGCTATCCAAGGTGTTTGAACAGGACGAGTAGTACTTCTTGATCAGTGGGTTCCATATGCTTCCATACTCAACATGGCTGGATGCTGGAATTATCCAAAAGACCACGATATCTCGGAAGCAACTGAGGTTACACATGATCCACTGCACCCAGCGTCTGCTCCAAGAACCTCAGCAGGCCGCCCCCGGCGCGCAGCATCTGCTCATTGTCGTTGAGCGCAGCAAAGAGGCTCCGCGGGTTGTGGTTGCCTCGACTCCAACGTCTCATCTGCGACACCAAATGGATGAGTACCCTACCACAGCTTGGCTGATGGTCCAAGACCAAACACAGATCATCTGCACGCAAATTGCACTGCAAAAACAACGCCTTGAATCCCCTTGACCAGAACCTTCCCTTCACCACCATAAATCCCGTTGTGTTTCAATGTCTTCCACCATTATATAACACCCTCCCCATGCACCTGCCCAACCTGGCCCCACCAAAAAAGCCACCAGTTCCCTTCTCCTCTCCTCTCCCCCCGGCGCCTCCCTGTGCCAGGCTCTGCCAGACTTCCCCCAGCCGCCGTCGAGCTCCCTCCGCGCCGAAGTCCGAGGCCTTCAACGTGGCCACCGGAAAAGGCTCCGCGCCCGGCGCCGCGCCCGCTGCGGCCGGCGGCGCGGCCGGCGGCTTCGGCGTCTGGGGCGGAAGAGAGACGGCTGTAAAAAGTGAATGATGGAGACCGAGCTCATGACTGTGACTATTTAGTTCTTAAGCACTGCTGACCATGCCTATGCTTTCTCTTTGATATGTAACTTTGATCCAAACCATTTCTGCCATCACATCCTCTATGGGCTTTGCTGCGCACGCGAGCAGCTCTGCAGGCGAGCGCGAGGGCACGAGGCATAGCCCGGAGCGTGGGCACCCAGGGCCCTGGAGCAGTTGGTGCTTCAAACCTAAGAGCGATGGCTCCACCCAGCAGATGCCGGCCAGATGCCGGCAGCCTGTCGTGGTTTTTCGCCCAGGGCCCACTATCTTAACTGCTCAAACCATGGCCAGCAAAGGCCAGCCCTTGCAAAAGCTCAAACCACTGCTGTTTTCGTGCTCTGCTCAGTTGCTCGTCGTGCATGAAAAAAAAACGAGGAGAGGCATTTCTTCTGGGGGCTCCTTCCGAACCTCGGGGCAACCCCTCGAATTGCTTCCACTCACTTCCTTCTCCGCCCGCGGAAACCCACCAGAGCCACGACCACTGCCACGACCAGTTCGCCAGGACTCGTCGCTCGGTCTGGGTCTGACCGAGGCACGATCCACGTGTTGGAACTCCGGGTCCGTGACCTCTGACAGCCACAGGGTCCTTCTGGGCGCATCCAGATCCACATAGGCCAGGCCCAATGGAGTGGACCCACGGGTGGTGCAAAGCGCGAAAAGAACTGAGACCTCGGGAGGAAAAGAAGCAGGAGACCTTGGGGCTTCAGTAGGAAGGAATGGAGGAAGTGGAGTTGACATCTTCAGTCAATTGAGTGGGGCATGAAGGTGCCGCTTCCATCTGTTCATCCACTGTGCTCCGGCCTCCGCCCAGGGCGCCTCCGGCGCTGGAGGCTCCAGCTCCATGCGTTGCCGAGCGCGGAATGGGGATCCAAACGGAGCACTGAGATGGCACCGCACTGGTGGATCGTCATGACCGGTTGGAGGGGTGGTGGATCTGCAAAGAGATCTGTGATCTGCACTGATCTGCTAGCAGCGTCCTTGCTCCTAGTAGTACGGCCAGGAGCCCCTAGCAGCGTCCTTGCTACTAGTAATTGTCAATGGGCGTTTGATCGGAAGGTTAACATCTTGGATCAACCTAACCCTCTTTGTCGGCCCTGCTGACCAAATTCCTGTTCGCACCCAAAGGCTTCACTCTTGCCATCAACGAAACAAACGAACGAACCCAGGTGCAAAATGAACAACGAAGAACACATCCGACAGCACGATCCTTGATACCTAAGAGGATCTAAGAGGCGCTAAGAGGATCACAGGACCCTAAGCCTAAGAGGATCATACTGCAGCATCCGATCCGCAAAGCATCAGCCTGGATCCATTCGCTTCACTTTTTGGATGCGCTCCTTCCATCTCTCTGCTCCCAATGCTTTTGAATTGGCGAAGAGATGGATGGGAAAAACATCACCTTCTCCCGCAGTTCAACCAGGATCGTCTGCTCCCTGGCTCCGTTGCGCAGCTCGTGAGTCGCCCTTCCTCCGTGTCTCGTTGAACCGTTGAACCGATCGGCCGGAAGGCGCTTCCCCCCGGATCCGCTTTGGGATCTTGCGGTGGCAAAGAAGGAAAACGTCCCACCCTGCCGTGGTTTTGGACCTTGAAAAAGGTGCCAAAAAACCAACAACCTAAGATTGCTTCGGCATACCTGGACCTTCCAAGGTGTCCGAAGCCCCGCTCTGTCCCTGAAGGTGGCATTCCACACACTTGACCCCCCAATGGTAGGTCCTGGTACACCGCCACTATGGCACCAAATCTTCCAAGCAGGGACCTTGTAATGGGCGTTCTGCACCAATAGGCTGGATTTTTCATACTGACCATGCAAGCGTGATTAGGTGTTCCAAGTGCTAGGTGATGATTTTTCTCATTGGGTCTTCCGAGTGGTCATCTTCCAATGCTTGTAGGATCTTTCTCATGTGGGGTGACGGGGTTGGCTCTGGCGTTCTAAAAAAGGCTGCTCAGCCAGCTTGGTTCTTGGCGATGTGCTTCAGAGTTGGCTCGGGAACATCAAGCGCGACGTAGTTCTTCTTGTCCGTGACGCAGGGGTTCACAGCCTCAAGTGGCATCAACATCATCAACAAGTGAGCAAGGCATGGTGCCATAATGCAACTCGAGTCACAGAGATACACATTATTCATCGTAATTGGTTAGTGCATGTTAGTGCAGAACGTGTTTTGCTGGCTTTGCCCTTCATCCTTGGAGCCAGTCTCACCCTGTGCTTCGCGTGTGTTCGCCGACGTTCGCTGGCCAAGCCCGGGGCATGGTGCTGCGTCAGCAAACCACAGGTAGTAAGGGCAAGCTTCTCCTGTGAACACGGTCCGTGTTGGTTGATGTGAAACAGCTGCAGAAGTGTTCAAAGACCAACGGAAATTGTTATGACAGGTGGCCCCTGTGTGAAAGCACAATAACATAACATAACATGGAAATGGCTACCAGTACACTGGAACCAGGATCGACAAGTCCCATCAAGTGCTTTTTCCACAAACATGCTGCGTCAGCCTCGTGTCTCCCAATCTCCCAAGAGTTTACACCCACCAATTCACCTCGATCTTGTCCCCCCTCCATCGCGCGTGGACCACACCTGACCATTGACCATCCCAAATGACCCTCCCAGACCTCTCCGTCGTCCCGCTCCTCTGTCCCAGGACCAAAGTTCTGCCAATACCTGACCGAACTCCGCCGGGGAAGGGTCACGACGGCTGGTCCACCGGTGAAGCCACCGGTGCAACGTTGAGTTGATCAGAGAAGTGAAGGAAGGAAGCTCCAGACTAGACGGAAGACTTCTCTACAAACCATCAAGTCGCCCTGCCACAGCAAAAAAAACGCCTGCCAGGACTCGCCTGGCGTTCCTCCCATGGCACGAACTCTCTACTAATTCGAAGGAAAACAACCGAACGCCGTCACTCCCTCCACCGGGTGGCTCCCCGAAGACGCCGTGGGAGTCCGCGGGGTTCAGCTCACCCACCGTGAAGCCGCGCTTCGCCGCGCACACGGCGATGGCGTGCATGTCCTGTGCCGGTCGGAGCCGGTCGGAGCCGGTCGCTGCGGCGGACACCGCTGGGGATGCCAAAAAGGACTCCCAGAAGAAGAGACACCTGGCGAGATCTCCCAAGGTTCACGCTAAAGAGGGGCTGGGAGTGGGTTGACGTCTTCAAGTGCGGACATCGGTCGGACTCTGGCGGCTGTCTTTGGGCCGATGTCTTGCAGCACTCTGGCTACGCTCCGGCGCTGCGCTCCGCAGCTCCTGGTCCATCAGCAGTACCGGGACGTTGCCTTCGTAGCCCTCACCGAAGACCTGGCGGTTTAGAGCTGAGGGCGCTCACATCACTCAAAGGGGAGACTCCGTGAACTCGGCGTGTGATCTTTGGAGCATGTTGCGTTGCTTCAACTCATTCATTCGTCCTTGGTTGAAACTACAACCTATAAATGGGAATTTAATATTGAGATATGATTCATTTAATTAATGATTCAATGCCTTTCAACTCCAGTGTGGGGAGAAACCTATCCCTTGAGTTATCGTGGCCTCCTACAAAGCATGCTCTCAATTTGGTGAATAGCCGACCTTCTCATAGAAGTCGTACGTGTCATTCTCGTAGAAGATAGGCCTCAGATGCACCTTTGGTTTCATACTGTACGCAGCAAAGAAGTACGTTTGAAACTTGTTTGAAAGATTTTGAAAGTAATTATACACCAGTTGAAGTGTGGCCTTCCATTGATTGCGACAGGGTACGACCTACATGGCAAAGACATGTATGACGCACAGCTGCGCAGCTGTGCTTGGCCGTCTCAGGTCATTGTGCCATGGTACGGTACAAGTCCAAGGTACAAGGACAGCACCACCAGGCAAATATGCTTAAAGGTTTCCTCCTCCAAGACTTTTCGCACAGCCATGGCCTCAAGGTGTGGCACAGGGTTGGTTGTTGTGTATGTGTATTGAATGCCGAACAGAAGCGTGGCGACGAAATCGCCTGCTCCGACAGACGGCGCGAACTCGCCAGTGCGAACTCGGCCAACACCCAAAGAGGCACACCATGCAAAAGTCCCCTCAAAGGAACACCCACACTCCCCCAACAACTCACCATATTACCCAGACCACGAAATGAATGAGACACAAGGAGACATACACAATCGCGTGGAATACACATCCACCGAGCACGTCCATTCAGTCTCACCATGTCTGCAGTGCTTCGATCCCGGTTGACTGGAGCGGCAACGGAGCGGCAAAGACATGCAACCACCCTCATGTTCGGAGGGCGTTGTCACTTCCGAGAGGGCCGTTTTCGGATCCCCTCGGATACCCCCCTTTCCCCTCCGGTCCGGAGGCCGGCTTTTCGGTGCATTCCCCAGCGGCTGAGAGCTGCCGCACGGAGTGTCCAATGCCAATGGCGTCGCCGGCGAAGACGCCCAGGCCCAGGCCGACCTCCACCACCACCCGGATGCCTGGCATGGGAAAGGGTGCTTTTTGTGGGGCGCTTTGACCTCCACCTCTTTGGGGAAAGGGTGAGACTATGTACGTACCTGGTTGCTTGTTGCCGCAGGGACTCCAAACGCAATTCACCCGCCCACCACAAATTCACGTCCTGTGACTTAAAGAGTGATTGGGACAAACCCATCAGCAAGTCCTAGATTAGATGATATACAGTAGTATATGCATCGCTACTATAGTAACAAGCGCAGTACTACTAGTAGCAAATAGATGCACATAGCTACGTATAGTAGCTTCTTGCTACTAGTAGCGATGCACTTGTTCCTAATAGCGATGGAGATACATCTAAAAAACACCTTTTCGGGCTTTGTGCCATGCACTCTGTGTGGCACTCTCGCACTCCACACTCCAAACCAGCCTAGATCATCCTGTGCCCGCAGCCGCAGCCGGCACATCTTCTTCCTCATTGAACCAGCTAGGCCGTGCAAGGAGCGGTGCCAGTGCTGTAATCAGCGTTTCTTTAAGAATCAGGGTGTTCCACCCCTCTACGCAACTGGACGAAACCACATCAACCACCACATGGGCGCAACACCAAAAAGCGGACGGGACGACAACAACGCAGCCATCCCACGCACTGGGCTGAGGCACATGTCGAAGAGTGTTTTGGTGACGTTCAGCTGCGCCGTCTTGCCACTGAGCTCAAAGTCCCTCCCGTGCTTCACAGAGGGATACCCGTCCTCCTCGGAGAGTCAGTTTCAACGGAACGGACCACGGCCTGCGATGAGATAAACAAACTATTTCTTTAGGGTGACGGTCTCGGGTGACGGTCTCCACAGACCGCTCAAGAGAAAAGACCGCCTTTTGTTGGTCCTTTGAGGGGTCGACCGACGGCATCGATGAGGGGTCGACGGAACACCCACCCGATGGATGCCACGGAGGCCGTGGCATCCGTAAAGAGAAGAACGCGCATTCTTCCAAGCATCGTCGAAGATGTAGACCTCACGTGCGGTGCGGCATCTGCGGTGTTTTTTCTCGTACCAAGCGAAGAAGGTCTGGTCCAAACGAAGGTGAAGGTGAATGAACGACATAGGAGACATCTGTTGTTCGATTCAATCCGTCTTCAAACCAACAACAAACATGTATACTGTAGAAGGACCCCGCAAACCTGCAGCAGAAACCAGCGGATCAGTGCGAACTCTTCATTGTTCACTGCCAGGACCGAGTCTTCAACATCCAGGACCCAGTTGTTGAACCTGCCAACCTCAAGAGTCACTCCCTTTCCCCCTGGTCCACCTCCTTCCAGTTCTTGATGTAGTGGGTCAAGTCCACATGGTCATGCACGCGCGAGGCAAAGTCGATGCCACACACCGAGACCAGCCAAATCCGCGTCAAGACCTGGAGCGAGCGACACGACCCGACTGCCGAAGGTCTACGTCCACGGCACCGGGAACCCACGGGAGGCCACCGGTCGGTGATCCAGGCAGCTGCGAGATGCTGTCCGTGATCCTTTGTGCAGTCAAATGCAGACTGCATTGCCGGGGCATCACCATGGGTTCACATAAGAGTACAGCAACTATATGTATACTACTTCAACTGATATCATTATGGGTGGCGCCTCTAAAGCTTCAGAGATCTTCAGACTTCTGTTCAATCATGAGGGTAAATATTCGCCATAATTCTGTTCAAGCACTTGTCCAGAAGATCCCCATGCTCGGACCTCATCCTGCACTTCCCGTGGAATCACCCGCCCATCGAAGCGCATGATCACTGGGTTGTTGCTACACCTGCGTCGTGGCCGTCAGGGAGACTAGACGGTGTTCTTCAGGGAGAGCACTGACCAGGTAGGGTGGAGTGTTCGTGGAGCCTGCGGTGAGACAGCGTGTCGGATCAGCAGCGGACATCATGAGATGACTGGCGAGATGAGATAGGATGACTGAGATGATATCGAGATGAGAAGAGAGGCGAAGCAAGAGCAAGACAAAGTAACAGGTTGGGGGGTCAAATCAGATGATACCAAACGAGTCCAAATGACTCAAATAAATTGCAGTATACATCTAATATCATCTAATTAATTATATATTATATAGCACACGAAGATGAAGTGATGATGAATCATATAGTATAAAAACATAGAGGTTGAGTCAAAACAGGAGTTGATACGTTGATGCGTACTGGTGTACAATGTGAAGCGCCATTAGGTGATGAGCTGGCATAAACCAATAAATACTAAGAAGATCTAAGAAGGGGAAGCCACCATGCGATCTACAGCCTCCCTATCCTTCCAAGCAACCACACCTCAGCCGGTGTGGTCAGCACCACAACAACTCTCTCGCGCCTGATGGCAAACTTCATCTTCCAGGCCTCTTCACCCGCCTGGCGCAGCTGCCGGTGAGCGAGCACGCCCCGGGCGAGATCTCGCAGCTGACGGTGATTCTCCCATCACCGTTGGGCCAAGCCGAGTGCGCGGCGTGCGCGACGTGCGCGACGTGATTCTCGGGGTCTCGGGCCTCGGACTTGCCCTGTAAGGATTGGCTCACAAGGTCTTTGCCTTCTTCGCCCTGGTAGATGTCCGCCGCCTGGGTCAGTGCTTCTTTCAAGCAGCGGGTGGGTGAGGAGGCGATGGGGGGCGGTTGGCGGAGGCGATGGGGTCCGGTTTGCCACTGACGGGCTGGACCTGCATGGGGCGAGTTGAAGAAGCTGCGCACAACATCTTTTTCGGAATGGGCTGTGAAGGAGACCACCAGTGTTCTTGACACATTCCAAATATACATAAAAGGTGACCTATCACATGTATTGTAAGTTGATGTCTCATGATGTATCTGTCTCCCAGCACCACCGGCACAAAGAAGGCTAAGCGGCTAAGCGGCTAAGCCTGCATCTGAAGCTTTACCGGTCTTTACTGGTCTCCGGCTTTTTCTCCGGTTCCTTCCAGTTGCCATCTCCAGTTCTACCGGGCAAGCCGGAGCTTGCGAGCTCGTATCCCTCTGATGGCTAACTTGTCAACAACAAACAACAGCCACAACAGGCCAGCAGAGTCCACCAGAAGATCTTGATCCGGCAGTCCATAAATCAGATCGCAACCCAGCTGGGTGCACCCACGTAGTAGGTGCGGAATGAGGATTGCCACTGCTTCACCTCCTTCACCGATGCCTTGAAGGAGCAGGGCAGGCCTCAGGTGACGTCGCATCGTCCGCGCACCCCGTCCCACCGGTCTGGCGCCGGATAGGCCGTGGCTCGAAATCGAATTCGGGGTGACGTCAGGGCTCATGAGTTCAATAGGGCGATTTCAATATGGTGAATAAACCAACATGCTCCTGTCATGCTGTAATCTCATGAAGTTGACCAGAAGCAGATTCCAACAGCTACAGTGCACTCATCACTAGCACTCCAGCCATACGTAGTCATTACCCAATCAACCAAGGAGCCATCTTGGCCCACTCCTTTGTAAACCAGCTCCTGCATCGGACACCACGGGCAGTGGGTCCTTTTTTGGCGTGTGTCGCATCGCAACGCTGCGCGGACATGCAACGCGGGGCGACACAGAGTGGGCCTGCTCTCAGATGAGGAAGGCTCACGTCATGTGAATTCAGTGAACTTCGACATCTAGGCCTTACAGTCCAAGTGGATCTAATACATGGCTATGGGCCGCCATGGCACCCCCGGTTGCCAAAATGAACAGACTCGGAGGTCATGGGAGGTCCACCTACGGCGAGTTCCGGGTGCACCCAGGACCCGGAAACGTGCCGCAACGGTTGGGTGACGTGGACGTGACCGGTTTTGGTCCACATCTATTCCGGTCCTTCATCTAACCATATCTGAACCACCAAACGTATAACATCAAAATAATGATATAGACTCGTGGGCTTGTGCGTCTCTTGGTATGTTTCCCATGGGTTTTTCCCCGCCCGGGTTTTCGGGGGGTCCTTCTCCTCAGGCTGTTCGTGCAAAGGCGTGGGGAGCTCAAAGGCCTTGACGCCCTGCACGAAGTACTTGTGCGCCAGTGGCTTCATCCCTACCTGGCTGTCGACAGGTCCAGGTGAGGGGGCCGAGCATCGTCATAGCCCGTCCCAGTGGCCGGCCATGGCCGCGGAGTGAGAGGTTTCTGTCGCATGTGTGCGCGAGGCCGGGCGGGCGCGAACTCTCGGTTCCGCTCGCGACTCCGAAGTCGGCACCTCGTCCATCATGAAGTCCTCCATGGCCAGAGTCTGAGGAATGCACTTCCCACCCATGGTCCTTGCGGCGGAGGATGGCAGCCGCATGATCCGACGACAGGAAACGGCCAAAGACTCCGCTCACTTGGGAAGTCTCACGTGGCTGGTCCTCTTGTCCATCTCCGGCAGCGTCTTCAGCTGTTGCATAAGCTCTTCTAGCTCTCTCGTGGGGGAGGACACCTGAGCCGAGCGCGCATAGGAATTCGGCAAGTAAAAAATATATGGATTGCATTCGATTTGTCCAAGTCTTTAGTGCAAGAACATCTTGGACGGCAAATTCCAGGACAAGAATCAATGGCACGAATCCTATGTGCTGTTCACATAGGGGTCCCAATCAATCCCAATCATCGGTGTCACCCTTCAACTCCGCCGTAATTGTAATATATTCTTCCTTTCTAGAATCTTAGCTGCAGCACAGGGCCTTATATAGATTCCACGAGATGTGGAAGCACCGAAACCACAAAGCCGTCATGGCACTCTGCTGGTTTCCGTGCCGAAGATCGCTTTTGGAAGGCCAATTTGCTCTTGCTTAAGATGCTTAAAGCCCACATCCCTACTCAAACAACAAGAGAGACTAAGAGAGCTGTCAAGTTCTTCGGCCTTGGGTGAATTCGTTAAGGACTTTGACGCTCAGCCAGACCATGAAAATCCGCGACCCCCATGACTGCCAGGCCCAGCGACCCCCAAGAAGAGCCGGCACCTGACGGTCAAGCAGCAACCGACTCCAAAGCCACGTGCAGAACTCTCTGAACTGTGTCTTAAGATCTGGTCTCTCTTCATGTTTCTTCAGTTTCCTGGAAAGTCTGTGGCAGCACACAGAAATAGGACTGCGCTCCTCTGAATCTATGACGAACATGAAAGAATGCCATTTGACCTGACCAACCTTCCACCAAGCCCACCCAGACCCAGGACCCAAGAACCAACTTGTCTAAGCCTAAGCCTTCACTCCGCTCGCTCCCCTTCATGGCCCTCCAAGCCTGGGCGGAGCGCCCTGCTCCACTGGCGGCAAGGCCATGTGCTCGGGAAAGTCCTCGGGGGGCTCCACCTCCGACAGGTCCCAGTCCTTCTCCTGGAACTTCAGCAGCTCCTCCACCCGGTCTGTTCCATCCGTCCCAGCAAGGGAGAGACTGGATCTCGACACCTTCCAGGAGATCCCTCCCGGGTCCCTCCCGAAATCTTCAAGAGAAAGAACTGAAAGAACCAGATACCTTGAATGAGACACTGGTGAATCTGCTGATGAATTCAACCAGCACCCCACATGCCTCTTCCCCCCCATCCTGACCAATCCGAAAGACTCGGAAAACCGCTCCGTCCTTTCACAGCGTTTGCTCGACCACTGGCGGTCATGGCTGGGTCATAGCACTGGGGGGGACCTTGCTTGACCAAGCGAAATGGGCACTGGGCACGTCAACCTACCAGCGTGAGTTCTGGGCTCCGGGTGCGCCAGCGCAGTGCTCGCATCTGGCTCCTTCACAAGCCAGCTGGGGTCCGTCCGCGAGGGCAAGGAGAGCTCCTTGGAGCCGGACGAGCGTTTGCTGGAGGCGGCGGGCGGCAACTGTGAGAGCTGGTTGAGGTGCTCGAAAGGTCAAACATGAAAGTACATGCATATGATACGTATTATACTAGAAAAGTAAACATGCCACCAGCAGCACCACCGATTGACCACGATTGACCCATTGATTCCTAGGGCAATCCTTTGATGATGGGCAATCCTTCGCAACATCATTGTTGAGTAGTAAACACATCAGAAAGTCATCAAGGCTCTACCGAGGGGTGGGGGTTGAGGGCTGATCGAACCCAACTGAGTGCTCCTAAAAGAACCTGATCAACCATGGAGTTCTGCTCTGTTACTTCAAGCGCTTCAAGCTTCTTCCTCTGACCCACCCAGCTGGCGCTCTTCCCCACCACCACTTCCGGGCAGCGGACGTCGAGGTCGTCGATGAAACCGGCGGCGGAGAAGAGCCAATCGCAGCCCCTCACCGATGCGGCACTGAAGAGCCGGGACGCGCTCGGGTCGACCGATGGCTGCAATTCAAAAGGGGGGGGGAGGGGGTCCAAAGGGCTCCGAGAAAGGGTTTTCCGGTGTTTGGGGGGATGAAACCCCATTGGACCAATGAACCACTCGGCTCTTTTTGGGTCTCAGTTTCTTGGCGTCTGAACTGTGGATCAACCACCTCCCAAGGTCTCGGACTCTGAAACTGACATTCTGCTTGAGGGCTTGGAGACCTGTTAAAATGCTGTCGTCTGAGGATCTTCCTCCCGAAGTTCCAAGAGAAAGAGATGATATCGATGGATCCGCGTCACCAGTCCTGGAGCTTTGGCAAGTTGTTTGGGATCTATATATATATGTGTTTTTCACAGGTAAGTCGTTGCCAGTTCCGAAAAAGAGTCTTGGAGTTCCTGGACCCTGCACTCCTCCAAGACTTCCCAGATGGCCTGGTGGCAATCAGACTCTTTCCTGGCAGCTTCTTCAAGCGAGCGAGGAAAGAGAAGCACCAGCACCAAACGGTGGCAGAATCCTCTCAGACCCGAGGGTGCCCAAGTTTACAACCTCTGGGTGGGGCCAGAAAGAATTCAATTGCAAACAGGTCATCTCTTGCAGTGATTCGCTCGGCATGCTCCAACACGTCTCGCCTGTTCTTTTTCAAAGGGGTATACAGTATTCACTCCAACATGTTTCGTGGATGTGGAAAGAAGCCTGCTCGCAAACGAGACTTTGGGGGGTGGAATATGTCTTTTCATGTCTTTTCCACTCTTCCATCCATCCCAGTCCTAGTCGGAGTGTTTCCAGCACCGCACCGATCGCACTGTCTATTGAAACGCTGTTTCTTGATTGTTCGCCAAAGATCTCAGCAAGAAACTCAAGAACCGACGCGTCCAACAGTCTCCGTCACCGCCGTCACCGTCCTGGCTCCTCGTTGCAGCTCAAGGTCCGTGCACGAACATCCCAAGGCGCCTCACTGACGAGCACTGGAACGTGCCCATGCTTTTCTGAACACCAAGACAGGCACAGTTCCAAGCGGAGCAGCCAGGCCACCGCAAGGGACCAACCCCTAAGGAGTCATCATCCAAAAAAATGTGGTTCATGACTCCATGACTGATCTCTGCCTCAAAATGTTGTTCTAGAATCGATCAGAAAATTCTGATCAGATCAACTGGTCTTCCAATGTCTTTCTAATACCTTTCTTCCCCAGTCACCTGCACGATCTTTTGGAGCACCGACAACATCGACTCCAGTGCTTTCCTCCTGTGGGATCGACCCGATGGGTGAAACCCGGTCGATGGGTGTTGCGCCGGCGATGGGTGGCAGGCGCCTCTGAGCCAAGTGGTATCGAGCTAAAACGGTGACCTCCTGACTGGTGCGACTCGTAGGGAATGAGGGAATGAGCCCCCATAGAGATTCTCTTGGATCCATTCCCTCATTCCCTGCTAAGCACCAGTCAGCCTCTGATGGTGATGGTTGTCATGGCCACACCTCATGATGACACCTGACTTTTGGACTTTCTCTGTCGCGTGAGATGCAAAAACGGCAACGGGTCCAAAGACGCAAGGAGTCACCGCCGACACCACCAGGCCCACCTTCTCCCAACTTGCAACGGCTCTAGCTTGCGGACTTCTTACCAGAGGAAGGGTAGAGGAAGTTGAGGGGGAAGGCACAAGGACCTGGCCCCCCTCTTCCCTTGAAGTCGCGAGCCCAAAAGGAGCGACGCGGGAGCTCCTTTCGGCTTCCGGCACGGCGCAGAGCTCCCGCAGACCTACCAAGGCCTCGACCTGGATGACATGCGACAGGCGAAGCACTCCAGCTGAATTTTTTGATGTATATATAGTCTTAAATGGCTTAGACACAACAGATCTCGTAAGGGGGGAATCATAACAGGAGAGACTCAATCTTCACCTGCACTGGTGCAGGCTTCTAGGTGACTTCTTGGCGTTCTTGGGACGGCTTGCCGCTCTCTGCGATCGGAAAAGCTCCGCCTGAAATCGGAGGCCGTTCGACAGGTCCTTCACCGTGCGACAGAACGCCGCCTGCGGCGGGAGACGGGGGACGCCGACGGGGGGAACCCACCCACAAGTGAGGGAACTGTGCCTGTGCCTGTATGCTTACAGTCTCCCTTCTTTTGATGATGATCTTCCTAACATGGCACTGCAACATACTGCAACTGTGTTTTGTGGTGTACACTCTGGCACATAGCTGCTCAAGTGCGGAGCACCGTAGGTCATAATTATATATAGATATTCAATGTTCACAACAGATTGTCTTTAGGAGCGTGCTGCTTCACCACACACACTTGAGCTGCAGTGCTGAACCATGCTCAAGAGCATGTAAATCAGAACTCGGCTTGTGCAGCACCGCCTGGCCGCTGCCATCGGAGAAGAGCCACCGGACGAACTCTCCGTATTGGATCTTGCCGTCGCGGTTGGCATCAGCCTGGACCCACGAGCAAGGTCTCGTGTGCTGAGATGGAATGATGGACGATCATGAAGCCAGATGCAGAGTGGCCAGAGACAGGTCAACATGCGGAGTGGCCCAACGGTCTGCCGTCGGATCAGCTTTCGGCGCCCCCCTCTCCGGTCCAAAGGCTCCGGAGGTCGGAGCCACACCCGCCGCAGCGACGCTCCGCGGCTCGATCCGCGCCTCCCGCAGAATCTGATCCAGACGCTCGTCCGTCCACGTGAGATCATCTAAGGCCTCCAGCACTCGCCCAAGCTCCTGGCCAATCAGGAAGCAACGCTTCAAACTGTGCCACCCATGTCATGCCACGACCACTGCCGCGATGTCATGCGATTTGATTTCGGATGTCTACAGTTCTTTTTGATGGTCGAAAGCTCAAAAGCGAAGCTGAAGATGCTGAATTTAAATGGAACCGATCAGGTCCTCGCGCTCGATGACGCCGTTGCCATTCCTTGGAGTGGGACGGCAGAATTGTCCAGCTGCCAGGAGTCTTGCTGCAGTTCAGCTTGGTGGAACCTTGTTAACTGTCAGGAGTGGTCTCTGATGTCTAGATTCTAGATCAGTATGAGTCGAGCACAAAAAGCACCAGGCTCACTCAACTTTGTACGAGGATGTCGTCTACAGTTCAAACAAAACAGCTTCCAGGAATGACGTGGCACGTCTGACCTTTGATGGCTTTCAGCGCCACCCTTTCGACCGCCCTTCACCCGCGATGGAGCGTCCGATCCAGCTGTCGGAAGAGCTCAATGAGCCGCTCGCCCGTGGCCATGGCGGGGCCAACGGAACGGCTCGGACACGGAGGTCTTCGTCGGGACGGGACGGGTGGATCTACCGAGGGGGACGGATCTAAAACTGACGGTGATGGTCGCAGGTGGTCGGGATGGGAAGCGGAGTGAGGGTCGCCCCGTGTGTTCGCCCCGTTTTTTCCGGTCCATTGCAATACACCGGTTCCTTTTTTTGGGGGGGAGGGGGGAACTTGTTCTTCCAAAAGGATCATTGCACAGGAAACCAGTGTGTGCAAAACCGGCATCGCCGGAATGACTTTCGTATTTAAGGTCACACAGAGTTCATGATGCTCGCAACAAAGAGATCGATGGAATCCACTTGATTGCCAACCCATCCACTTGAGGACATCTCGGTCCAGCTGTCTCGAGAGGTCGCCTGGAGCCAGAGGTCCCGGATCTCCACCCGCGCGTCGGTACCGGATGGCCAATGTTTACTGTCAGATTCTGATGGAAGGGAGACATGGACTGCCCAAGTGGTTCGTGGCCCCCAAGAAGTACATGTCACCTTTAAAGCAAAACTTACACTGCCAGGGTTCATATCAAACTCTTCAAACTTCCAAGTCGAGGGGCCTCCACTCTTCAATCCTAATTTATCTGAGCCGGTTGGAACACTGCACTGCACTGCGCGCCGTATGCTCCTCTTTTCCGCCCACAGCTTGGCATTCTTTCGCGCTGTCAGCTCTGGGATTTTTGAAGCTAGAGTCTTGCACTAGGTCATCTTCTTTGATTTTGGGGATGAAGTGCTGCACATGTTCCTTCAAGAAATCTATATATATATATATATGTGCTCAGTAGAACCTCTCCAATGAACATCGAATTCACCCTTACATCCGAGGGACTTCATTGGGCAAGTCGAAAGGTCCCACAAGACTTCCGGGTGTGAAGAGGTGCGGCTTTTTGGAGCGGCCACCAATCCCAGTACACCGGACCTCGGACGACACCCCTGTCGAAGGCCCACTGCTTCGGGGTAACTGTTAACTCTCTAACCCCCTGCACTATATATGTGTGAAGACATTTGAAGCCTGTTTCACGGATCTCAAACTTCTGGGTGCTTCATGGACGGGGCATCAACAATCATATCCCAGGAGCACATTGCAACATGATGCAACACTCCGGTTTTCGTGTGTTCTCCATATCCCAAAGCTCGATCCCGACCGCTCAGAAGCTCACCGCTCAGAAGCTCACCTGGCACGCGGCTCCAGAAGCTGCCGGAGAATGCTAGGGCCGGCTTTGGGGATTCAGGGGTTTGGCCTTGGCCTTGCAGTTGAGCACTCGAAGAAGAAGTTCTAATGATGGCGTCCTTCGATTACACCGAGGAACTACAGTAGGTACTGGGAGATCCTTTCAGTGCATGTTTCCGTGCAGTATGCCTTTGTGCACGGTGCACATGCTGCAAACACATGGAGGTGCGGCCAAACGATTCATTGAACTCAAGGTGCTGTGTTCTAGACAAGAAGAACCCAGAGTACGAGCTGTTGAATAAATGAAAACACCAACAAATCACAAATAACATTGAACTGCATAATTTCACAAGTTTGGTTCTTTGTTGTCTTGGAACTGTCTTTCTTCTTATCCCGTGTTTTCGCACAGGCTTGACACTATCGTGGGTAGTGTAGAAGAAGTCAAAAGGAACGCAGTCTCACCGCGTGTTCCCCGGGCCTTCAGTTTTTGTGCCAGGAGAGGCACTGCTTCGACGGCTCCGCGTTCGTCGTGCCGACGGCGGAGCTCCAAAGGTCACAGCCTCGGCAGGTGCTCTCCCGCTCCGCCCGCAAGGAGCCCGAGCGATCTGAATCCCTTTTGGGCCCTATATAAAGGAACTCTGAAAAACATATAATACTTCAAATCATCGTCCTCTGAACCTGCAAACAACGGTCTCCGTTTGCCTCCCATCAAGGGCCAAACGGATATCCGCTCGCGAGAAAGCAGAAGCCTCACCAAAATTATGTGTATGACCGATCTGCTCCCAAATCCTTCGAAAAAACAACACACCAAGGGGCGTTTCTTTGCCGCGTCGTACTCCACGCCTGATGCTGTTGTCTTGCACAGAAGGAGTCGTCAAGTATCAGTTGGAACATGAAAAGCCTGGACGGTTGTTGAATATCTTTCTTGACATGTCCTATTCATATGAAACAAATCTCTCAAGGGCAACTGCACCTTCTCATACCTTAGCCTTCTCTTACCTCGCCTTGGACAAATCTAGCTCATATGATCTCATATGTGTTGATTCCGAGGAATATGTCTGTCTTGGGCTGTTGACATGTGCAAAGAAACTCGATGGTACACTGCCTGGCAAAACTGACAAGATCTGTACATTCAGGCAATGGTCAGCAAGTTCTTGCAATTCATACACCCCTGCTAGATTCTGGACCTCTTACAGTAGTAATCTGATGTTCCAAGGTTTTCCATGTGAGATGTTCAGATAACAGTCTGACAAAAGAGTTGAAAAAACGCAGGGGAGGTCAGACCCCCCAGAGTGTGTCTGCCCACGTCTCTCCTTCCTCACGTCTCCGACCGCCACCGACCCGCCGCCGTCACGCCGCGCCTCGACAGCCTCCCCTCGTCTCGCAGCCGCGCTTGCATTCGTCCAGCGTCTGGCCGGCCAGCACCTGTACCGCCGCCTGCGGCACCTGCCGTGGAACGAGCGAACGAGCGAACGCCGCCGCAAAAGGCGGAGGACATGTTCTCAGTACCTGACAGGAGTCCTTCAGTGGAAAGGAGTCCGACCAGGTTTGGGGGAATTTGGAGACAAAGCCGGGTCAAGGAAACGAAGCTGGAGGATGGGCACCCTTTGATGCTTCACGGTTTGTGCGGGTTAACATTCGTTCAAGAGGTCCCTGGTCAGGTCAGCATAAACCAAATTGGCTGGTAAAACATGGTACTTGCGCCAACGTCCGCCACAGGGTTAACCCTTGGCGTTTTTCCACGTGAGCAGTGAAACACCCTCATGGATAGAAATGATGAGAAATGGGCCTAAGGATACCGACACTCGGTGATTTTTCGCTTTTCTCCCCTCCAAACCCGCCGACTCCCGGCCAGCCCCCGAGTGCCCCCCGAAGCCAACCGTCCCCACCCACCGTCCCCGGGCACCGTCTCGTGCAGCGCTCCGATGGCAATGCCGGAGAGGTGAACGTGATGCGATTGGCGAAAGAAGTCAAAGATGAGCTGGCCTCAGAAGGCGGAGCACGGAAGATCACAGGCGATCACAGCCGCTCAGCTGGAGCGATTCCGAAGTGGTCGAGTGAGTGAGGGATCAATGTCCCCATTGCTTCATTTTTGAAGTGAAAAGATAGGGTTCTCATTCTTGGATGTTCCTGGTATCCGCCGACCCCTGTTGAAGCAAGGGGGAGCGCGCAAGGGAATACGGAGTTGCCGGGGGTGTCCTACCCTCCGCCTGTGCCAAGGACAACTTTCCAGGGACACAGGGTTGAAGGGAACATTAAGGTTGACGATGTCCATGCCAACATTTTCCAGGGACATCGGGTTTCAGGACACACGAACACAGGGTTCAAGGGAACAGTAAGGTTGATGATGTCAGCGTGGCGAAGCAGATTGCCGGGAGCCTTGGAGGGAGGGTACGAGCATGGTGTTGAGGGTACGAAGTGTCGGAGTGTCGGGCGTCTTGGGAGACTGTGTATTGTGGCCGCTGCTGAGATAACAGCCAAGCCGAAGTGGGCTGTGAAAACGGGACCTGGGGCCACGTCCGGCACCGCAGCCAAGGCACTATAGGTTCGTTGAATCGAGCCGCAGGAGGCTCGTTTTGGAATTGGTGTTCGGGGCCAGGATTGGCGCAAGAAATGAAAGAAAAGTTCTTTTTTTAATAGGGATTCAGAGGGAGCGTTTGGGAGGGAAAGTGCAACCAGGGCAGGCTCGTTTTGGTCTTGAATTAGATGGTGGAAAAGCGTGGCGAAGCAGATTGCTGGGAGCCTTGGAGGGAAGGTACGAGCATGGTGTTGAGGGTACGAAGTGTCGGGAGTGGTGTCTTGGGAGGGGGTCTCTTTGGAGCCCCTCTTTCTACACCAGAAACCATTGCACGCCACCTTTCCATTCTCCACCCCAAAGAAATCCTGCGTCTCCGCCCAGGGACGTCTCCGAGTCTTCGGACCCAGGTCTCGCAGTTTTCGTCTTCCCCAAGTCACTCGTCTAACGCGCTGGTACTGCCCGGCTGCAGGCACCAACTCTGCCATCCTTGGCTTGACACGGCTCGTGTAAGATTCTGCTTTCCTCGAGACCTCCAAATTACTATATACCTTCATCTTTACTTTCCCCACCTTCCCTTTCGCTATTCTTTGCTCCGCCGCGCAGCTTTGTTTCTCTCGGTCTGTATCTTTTTTTCGTCCCTATTTCTTCTCCTTCTGTCTTTGTCTCTCTCTTTCCCTCTCTCTCTGCAAACTGACAAAGGAAATACAATCAAAACCAATGAAACCGAGAAGACGCAATTCAAATTACCTGTCTTTTTCTCTGGGTGTGAATTGATTAGACAACTGCAAAAATATCTCCTTTCGGCATCTTTTCATCAGCGCAGGTCACGTGGCTCAACTTCGTCGACTGTACATTCTCTGAACATTCTGTTCTCGAGTCGTGTTCTCTGGGCGAGGAAGGCACCAAAGCAAACAAGTCGTGTTCCAAAAAATACGCACAAGTCGTGTTGTTCCAAACACAAACCATCCGAAAACCACAGAGCACTCAGATTTCTGTGGCTCCTTGGGACATTGGCTCTCAGCTCAAGGCGTGAAGTGGGCCTGCCACGAGGCACCAAAGCAAAGAAAAAAGTGAAAGAACATTAGTTAGTTAGACAGTTAGTTAGTTAGTTAGCTAGCTAGCTAGTTAGTTAGCTAGCTTGTTAGTTAGTTAGTTACTGGCAATAGTAGCAGTCAGTAGTGGTACTGGTATAGTAGTGGCAGTGATAGTAGTGAAAGATAGCAACATCTCCGACCCCCAGAGATTCTCGCAAGATTGGACTGAGTTCTGCATGAGGTGGCTGAGTGAAAGGTTTGTTTTGGTTGATTCAACAAGAGCTCGGATCATCATGTAGAACATATTAGAAGATGTCGGAACATGCTGCATGCCGCACTGCATGCAACTCAAGGCAAACTTAGAAAACACTACGTCGCTTTCAGCTTCACAAAAACAATTCTTGCGACTCATGAAAATCCGTTCTTTTTTGTTCAGCTGCGTGCCTCCAGTCGCATTTCCTATAGGCACATGCGTCCTCGGAACATGCAAAACACCTCACGCAGGAGCCACGAGCCTGTCGCTGCAAATCTGCAACGCAAACCAACACCGGCGACTGGCGCAAACGTTTCTCCACTTCCTGCGCCCAATGACTTCGGCCGACAACAGCTGTGGTGACTTCGGCCGAAGACTTCAGGTGACTTTCCAGTGGTGGTCGAACACCATAGCAATTGAAGAACAGTTTTTTGCGCCCTTTCAAGTGTCCTGACCGACCAAGCCGTTCATTGAAACGACTTGGCAAGGCATTCGGACAAACCGAAGATTGCACAAGCAGAATTCATCCGTCAGGTCACGCAAGGTTTGTCACGCAGCCTTCAAACTGCCCTATGAAAAAAGGATCCTCATTGTGACCCAGATGATGAGGCCATTCGCTTCAAGCAACAACAACCTTCCAAGCCAATAACAAAACACAGGTCCTTCAGTCACCACCAGAGCATGCCATAAATCAAGTATTCGTATTATTCCCTGGCCTTGTCCCATTCCTGTGTGGCTTTCCAAAAGACTCGTAGCTCTTGCAGCTTGTTGCGCAGGTCCTCCATGCGCCGATTCGGAGGCCTGTCGTTGCTTCGAAGACAGCCATGACCCCAACCGTGCATGACGCACGACCACCTTAAATTGATACCTCCAGTCACCTAGATCGGTTGATTCATTCCAAGCTAAACTGATCTTAGAGTAGGGATTTGTAAAAAAAAGGACCCTGCTGGGTTGCCCAAGCAATCCCAACAAAAACCATGAAACCTTTGTTTTGGGTGGATCACTGTGAACTCACATGAATTCAGCATGTCGGGCAGTCCATCCACCAGCAATCCGTCTGGAAGTGAACCAACACCAGGAACCCACCAGGTCATGCAGATCAGTTTTTCGGCATGCCCCTGCGGTCGCTAGACATGTCACAACACCAGTCTGGTGCGGCTTGTCGACACGTCGTGGTCGGAAGGAGCGGCAAGGGTCCAGCTGGTCGGCCCTGGTCGGCGAGATTTGGAAGTCATGATGGGTGGAAAGAGCTTCTGGACTTGCAATCAAATAGAGAGAGGTGTCCAGATGGAACATGTGGAACCCCTGCAAAGAAGCAACAAACATAGACCAAAACCATCCCAACCCCCAAGGGTGGTTAGAGGGTGTCTCTGATGAAAGTACAAATCCATTTAGCTTCCCTCAAAAAAAGAAGAGATGAAGCTTACAAAGGTTGGACATCTGACAAAGGTTTCTCATCTTCTTTAGATCAAGAGACTCTCCAGCTGGCGATGGCGCTGCTCGAAGCCAGCCAGCACTGAGTCCACATCATGGAAGAACCCAGGTCGCTTGAAGTTCCGGCCGAACTCGGCAGCCGCGTTCGGCAGTGGCCGTGACCACGGACATGTGGGACACGGTTTCAGTCTCACATTCTAAGAGTATCAAAATCAACTTGTGGAGATCGGACATGAAGACAGTACTCAAGTCAGGACTAGAGTTACCAGAGTCAGCATAAGTATCCCTGAGTCTACTTCTAGTCTGACCTTCAAAAGCAACAAACACTGCACTGCAGAGAGTGTCCCGGACATCGGTACAGCAGTACATCGGTCGCCTGCTGTAAGTTGGAGTGAAGATGACGACTTTGCCTGCGCCAAAACTTCACTCAAGGCATCTCAACGTCTCAAGATGTCCAAAAGGCAACACATACACCGCAGAACAGATTTAGCCAATCTTTGGAAGAAGCTCCTGGAATGGAATCACGAACACTTGAACCCCCTTTCTGACTGATGATTCGATGATGCTTGCTGGCTTTGAGTCGGTATTTCCCGAGGCCAACTCCGCAATTGGAGGGAGGAAACTCAGCAATTGTTTGGCCACCCCGAAAGCGAAAGCCGCATCGTCACATCGTACCTCTTCCAGCGACACGCGTGACTGGATCTAAAGGCGTGCAAGACATGTAGCGTGCCTCTTTGGTGGTCCACCTGATTGCTACCCCATGTGACAACCTCCAGACGTCGTGCTCCCCAAAAAACTTGGCCAGGCTGCTCTTCTATTGATTTATTCCACTCGTAGAGTGGGCCCCCCAATGTCCACCAAAACACGACAATACAAGCAATGCGAGGCGGCAATTCGTGTTTTTTTTTGGTGTATATAACAAAACAATGAACAACAACACGGCCGAAACAGAGGCTCGCATTTTTTACATCACCGTCTTGCTCGTTTCACGTCATGTTCGCATCGTTTCCATGCTTCAATTGAAGAAAGGTCCCCACAAAGCTTTAAAAACGTTTCTGGAACCAGCTTTATCTCAGAATACTAGACCGTGCTCACTTCGTGAAAGTGCGTCAGGGGCCCGAATCGCTGAAGCCACACAAGCATCAAAAATTTCACATCATGACAAATCCATCCCACTGAACTTTCGGGACATTGGTTTCCACTGGCAATGCAACCATTTTTGGATTCATCAAGATGGTGACGTGGACGGCACATCATTCTAGTTCACCAAGACTACCATCCCTACATATCATGTACCAAGTGATAACCCACTGACATTTGACATCGATAATTAAGGGTAACTCTGCCTTAGTCAGCGACGTCTGCGCGGGCGTGCCAGAGTGCAGGAGCCACGCACCTCGCGCGCCAAGATTAAGAACACAAGAAAAACGTTGAAATCCATGAATGTAGTAGATGAATGTGGTAGCCGAATGCGTGAAAAGTGACATCTAAGAAAGACTGAGCGTGAGAGGTGGAAAACCAGGTGAACTGGTGTCCAAAAAATTGATGCTTCCCTATACCACTTCTGACATTATTGTTTTTCTTCCAATATTGTATTTCAGTGCTTTGACTGCTGCAACATGTGCAGTGTACAGTACCTTGCATCTGGTTTTTGGAACCTGGCAGGCATGAAAACATGCATAAACATACACAGCTTTTTAGTGACTAGTCAGCTTCTTGGTATTACAGGTGAGACGATTCCCGGTGA